ACAGAGAAGGAAACCAGAGCTCAGAGCAGTCCAGGCTCTGGCCCAAGGATGCCCGGCCAGGAGGGAGCAACCAGCTCTCCAATTGGCAATGAAGGATTTTAGCCCGCTCCTATGGAATATTAGGTAAAGCAGTTAAGGGCAACGATTTCCCAATTGAGGAAATGTAAAATAAACCAAGCGTCCTGGAACCTAAAGGCTTGTGATGAAATGGCAAAGTAAATAAATCTAAGGAAATCCCTCCAGAATAATTCTGGGACACAAACTGACACAGGCCTTGGGCCAGGTCGGGAGTGGTGGCTCACGCCTGTAATCCCAGCCCTTTGGGAGGCCAAGGCGGGCGGATCACCTGAGGTCAGGAGTTCGAGACGAGCCTGACCAACATGGTGAAACCTTGTCTCTACTAAAAATACAAAATTAGCTGGGCGTGGTGGCACTTGCCTGTAATCCCAGCTACTCGGGAGGCTGAGGCAGGAGAATCTCTGGAACCTGGGAGGCGGAGGTTGCAGTGAGCCGAGATTACACCATTGCACTCCAGCCTGGGCAACCAGAGCTAAACTCTGTCTCAAAAAAAAAAGAAAAAAAAAAACATTTCACGCCCATTTCCACTGTGTCCCACGGCACTTTCATATGCAGTACATCTCATGTACCTCCTTCTAGAAGACAGACTCCAGCAGGTATCACCCCTCGGCACACCCGTCACCCTCTCCTGATGTTACATTAAAAGGCTGTCTTCACTTTCTTCGCTGAAGCTCTCACAGGCCCAGCAACTAGGCCCACACAGGGAAAAACCAAATGCATAACTTCCTAAGGATGTCATTTAGGCATCACTGACAACCATTCATTGAAACCGATGTATTTACCAGCACCCGCTGGGGCTGGCCGGGCACTTTCCTTTGTGAAAGGAAAATACCTTGGGCCCCCAAAATCCCTAAGCAAAAAGGAACACTCAAGCTGAAAACTGCTTAGGGCAAACCTGCCTCCCATCTGTTCAGTCATCTCTCTGCTCACTGAGATAAATGCCGATCTGACTGCCTTTGGAAAGGATAATCAGAAACTCAAAAGAATGCAACTGTTTATCTCTCGCCTACCTGTGATCTGGAAGCCCCCTCCCCGCTTGGAGTCTTCCTGTCTTTGCTTCCAGTTGTCCCACCTTTCCTGACTGAACCAATGTATTTCTTACATATATTGATTGATGTCTCCTGTCTCCCTAAAATGCATAAAACCACGCTGTGCCCGGACCCCCTTGGGCGCATGTCGTCAGGACCTCCTGAGGCTGTCACAGGTGCGCATCCTCAACCTTGGCAAAATAAACTTTCTAAATTAACTGAGACTTCCCTCCGATGTTCTGGGTTTACATTTATACACTGCTTGCCTTACCCTTTGCGGCAATCATTGTGTAATTGTGAGCAAGCGATCTAACCTGTACCTCACTTTCCGCAATCTTGGCGATACTCTGATGTACAGCAAGGTTTGAGAGCTGCTTTAGAGAGGATGGGTGAGAAGCCAACAAGCTACCATGGCGGGTGAGGAGGACAATGCTGCTGGTACCCACCCCATAGCCTCTGGGCTGCCTGGGCTCACCTCCGGCAGGGCACAGTAAGTGGCCCGGCTGGAATCTGAGCCCAGGATGTCTGGCTCCAGAGCCTGGGCTTTGCTGTTACGCTCCACAGCCCGCACTTGAGGCAGGATAGGTAGTCAAGGAAGTGACCATGTCCTTGGGATGCGGCGACCAAACCGTCAACACAATAAGTCCCAGTATTCACACTGCAGTCCGGCTCTTTCAAGCACAGTTATCTGAGTAGGGAACGTCCCCTGCAGATGGCACGAGCACTTTGACTTTATCTGTCCTCAGACTGACCCTCTGCTCATTATAATAGTAAAAAACATACCCTTGGGCGGAGACTTAAGATGCTAATGAGACATGTGATGTTTGAACAAGTGTGTACAGCTACTGAACATGTGCACTCGGAGGACCACCCCCACCCCGCCAGAACATGCTTACTAGTGATGCCTCTTCCCAGCCCCTTATGAATAATCACATAAGACTCCCCAGAAAGGGAGTTTCCCCGGTAACAGTTAAGGCTGTCTCATCTGCTCTGAATATCTCCCAGGGTGTCCTGTCTATTCTGCACCTCATTTTCAGAACATTCTTTCTCCTTTGCAGTAAATTGCTCTATGCTGCATCCCCTTTGCTGCGGTCTCTTGTTTATATTCTTTTACACTAAAAAGAACTGAGGTTTCACAACAGCCGTCAACATGCTAAGCAGCATGGCTGGGGTGACCACACCAGCACTAACATTAGAAAGTCTTTATTTTAAATCTCATCTTCCCCGCTTGCTGGCTGTGTAAAACCTGGGCAAGATACATGGGCCAGCACAGAGAGGTTATGTAACCAGCCAAGGTCACACAGCATGTTAGTACTCAGAGGAAGATTAGAACTTGGTTTCCTCATGCCCAGCCAGGGATTTGAGTCTTGACTCCTCTGGGGACAAAGTTGTTTCTTTCCTGCCTGCGGGCCCCAGGGCTTTGACAAATTGAGCCCCATCCTACGCATTTCTGGAGAAAACACTTCTTCACTCCTCCTCTGGGAAGGAAGGAAAATGCAGTGTCTTCCTCGTGAATCTCATGAGAATTAAATAATCAAATACTCAAGAGGCACTTAAGATAGGAGCTAGCCCTGAACAAAGATCGGTTTCCGTTTGGTTTCCTGTGGCCGCCATGACAAAGCGCCACAAACTGGGTGCATTAAGACAACGAAGTTTATTCTGTCATGGTTCTGGAAGGCATTAGTATGAAACCAAGGTGTTGGCAGAGCCTCCCCCCTCCAAAGGCTCCGGGAGGGGCCCTTCCTGGGCTCTTCTGGCTTTTGGGGGCTGCAGGTGTTCCTTGGTTTGCGGCTGCATCACTCCAGGCCCTCCCTCCGTCTTCACACGGCCTCTTTCCCTGTGTCTCTACGTCTTCTCATGGCCTTCTTATAAGGACACCAGCCATCAGAATTAGGACCCACCTGAATCCAGTAGGACCTAACCAATTGCACGATCTAACCAATTACATCCGCAAAGCCCTTATTTCCAAGTGTGGCCACATTCTGAGGTTCCAGATGGACATGATGTTTTGAAGGACACTGTTTGGACTAAATTGTGTCCCCTCCCAAATTCTTAGGTTGCAGCCCTAACCTCCAGTATCCCATATGACTGTATCTGGAGGTAATTAAGTAATCAAATTCTTATGTTGAAGCCCTAGCCTCCAATATCCCATGTGACTGTATTTGGAGACAGGGCCTTTAAGGAGGTAATTAAGGTAATTAAGGTCATCAGGGTGGGGCCCTAATCCCATAGAACTGGTGTCCTTATAAGAAAAGGGAGAGACCAGAGCCCTCTCTTTCATTCTCTCCCCTGCCCTCTATTCTTCCAAGCACAGAGAAATGACTGTGTGGCTGGGCGCGGTGGCTCACGCCTGTAATCCCAGCACTTTGGGAGGCCGAGGCAGGTGGATCACAAGGTCAGGAGATCGAGACCATCCTGGCTAACATGGTGAAACCCCATCTCTACTAAAAATACAAAAAATTAGCCGGGTGTGGTGGCGGGCGCCTGTAGTCCCAGCTACTCGGGAGGCTGAGGTAGGAGAAAGGCGTGAACCCGGAAGGCAGAGCTTGCAGTGAGCCGAGATGCACTTCAGCCTGGGTGGCAGAGCAAGAATCCATCTCAAAAAAAAAAAAATAAAAGAAATGACCGTGTGAGGAGGCAATGGGAAGGCAGCTGTCTGCAAGCCTGGAAGACAGGCCTCACCAGAAGTCAACCCTGCTGGCACTGTCATCTCAGGCTTCAGCCTCCAGAACCTTGAGAGAACACATTTCTGTTGTTTAATATACCAGTCAGTAGTATTCATCAGGTTAACAGAGACACGGTTAACAGAGGTTAACAGAGACACGACTGACCCAGTGCAGCTCCCATCCAGATGAGGAGTTGCACTTCCCACCACTGCACGAGCTTCTCCCTGCTGGGGATGTCCGCTGACTCCCTGTCCACTTGGGTCTGGTCTCATCCAATGCTTGACTCAGCATTGCCTCCTGCAGCCTGCTGTCCTTGACCTCCCCTTCACCCAGGAGCCCCTTGCCTCTCCTCTATACTCAGAAGCAGGGAAGCTGTCACTGGAGACGACATACCCTGGCATGTCCTGAGTGCCAGCTGCTGTCTCGGGGCCCCATACACAGTCCTCCCGGCACACCATGAAAAAGAACTATGACCGTCCCCATTTCACAGATGGGGAAACTGAGAGCTAGAGACCAGGTGATGCTCCTGTGGTCACACAGTGAGGAAGTGGGGAGCCAGGACACAGACCCAGGCCCTCTCCTCCTCCGGGTGCTGCCCAGCACCCACTTGTTGATTCCTTCATACCCAGGTGTCCATACTCCTGCCTTTCTGACAGCTGACGATTCTGCCTGAGGCCGGGGCTCTGTCTGGCTCAGCATGGCATCCTGTGACTCCTGCCTCTAAGGAGGGCTCAGGTGCCCTCTCCTGCTCTCTCAAAGCCTCCCTGCAGGGCAAGCACAGCCGGCTTCACCTCCCCACCCCAGACCTGCACACGCTTGCACATGGGAAAGAGGTGGTGTGGCACGTGATCTCCGACATCCCCATTTCAGCTCGGCACCCCTTCTTCATCACCACTTTACACGATGACACCCAGAAATCCTGGGCCTATTTCTTACCTGAGGAGAACTGATTTCCAAAGAGCTTTGCTAACAGGGATGTTTGGAGACAAGAATCCTCAGCATCCCAGAAATGGACGGTGCCTCAGAGAGGACCGAGGCCAACCACCTCGGTTTCTGATGTGGACAAGGAGGATTGCATGGAGGGAACGCGGCCTGCCTGGATCACCGGCCAACGAGTGCCGGGGTTGGACCTGAACCACCTCTGGGGTCCCCGGCCAGGAGGATGTGAGGTTCTCGCACACACACAGACCCTGGACCTTCTGTGCTGGTCCCCACAGAGACCATGTACCTGGCAGAGTGCAACCACAGCCTCGGTGGCTCTGACATTCTCCTCTTCCTCCAGGTCACATCGCATCAGCCTCTGCCTCTCCAGGACCTCGTGAAAAGCCTGTGAGGAAAACAAGAGCTGAGTCTTCTAGAAACATGCAGGGTTTTTTCCCAGAAGGTTCTCCAACTGTCCCCTGCGTCTCAGGTCAGAAAGAAGGATGTTGGCCCCTGTATTACACACAAGGAAACGGAGGCATGGAGCCGTCACATGGCTTTCACAGCTGATGCCACGGCCAGCAAATCTGCTTTCCAGGAAACACCACAAACCACCACACTTTTGTTAAACCCAGGATGAGCAGGGCCACTGGGCCACTTCTGTCATCCTTCTGCCCTGGCCACAGCCACCCAAACGTCACTTTCTGACCACCCAGGCCACAGGAGACCCACTGATGGGAGCCCAGCAAGGGTGACACAGACTGGCAATTGGAGGTCAGTGCAGTCAGCAACCAGCCAGGCCCCATTCTGACCATGTGGCAGAGGCCCTTTCCTGAGGACCCCAGCAGAGCAGCAGGAGACTGGGTTACCCCGGGCATCAGCAGAGGGAGACCCGGCCAGCCCTAGACAGAGCACCAGAGGCCCCAGCACCAGCAGAGGGAGACCCGGCCAGCCCTAGGCAGAGCATCAGAGGCTCCGGGCATCAGCAGAGGGAGACCCGGCCAGGCCTAGGCAGAGCATCAGAGGCCCCGGCACCAGTACAGGGAGACCCGGCCAGCCCTAGGCAGAGCATCAGAGGCCCCGGCACCAGCAGAGGGAGACCCGGCCAGGCCTAGGCAGAGCATCAGAGACCCCAGCACCAGTACAGGGAGACCCGGCCAGCCCTAGGCAGAGCATCAGAGGCCCCGGCACCAGCAGAGAGAGGGGCGAGGCAGGGCAGAAGGACAAAGGAACAGACTCTTCTCAGGGAAAGGCTGCAGCAGAAAATTCCCTGTGGGGGAGGTGTTTCAATGGAGTCTCTAAGGACAAGGAATGGCTCCCTGGAGGGAAGATGGGGAGCCATGCTCGGAGCAGCAGCAGAGACCAAGAGGTAAGACCCCATAGGACCTTTGGGGACGCTACGGGCAGGAGGTGAGATGAGAGAGAAGGGCGGGACTGGAAAAAAGTGGGTGCTGAGTGTGTGCTGGGAGCCTGGTGTTATTCATTCATTCTCTCACCCATTCCATCCTCCTTCCTTCATTCACTCGTTTGCCCATTTGTCCATGGCCTGGTTCACTCACGCACTCATGCGCTCATTCACCCTTCCCGGCCTGCGACCCACGTATCCTGAACGCCAGCGCCGAGGCGTTCCGAGGACGGTACCGAGACCCTGGGACACCGAGGTCACCCAGGCACTGTCTCCACACTCTGGACTCACAATGGGCTTTGTGACATCAAGGAAAGGGGCCCAGAAATCTCTAAGTAATGAAGAGCTGAATAGCCTTATCTTCCTCTTATTTCAAACGGGTCTTCTCAAAGACAGAAAAACCCAGCCTACCCCTATGTGGCAAACCCAGAAGCTCCCAGTGTGGCCCTGGAAGAGGCTCCCTGGGTAAGGGAGGCAGCTAGACAGGGACCTAGAGGCCTCTCCTCTGTTCTCAGGAGACCCCCCCATTGGCTTCTCACTACAGTGGTGCCACCACCACCAGGTTGGCCCCCGGGGAGGGCCCCTGGGCCTCTATTCTGGGCTGAGCCTGGACCCCGACAGGGTGCCACCCACCTCTTGGCAGAACTGAGATGCGCTGTACCGAGTGCTGATGCAGGGCAGGCGAACCCAGGCAAACAGTGAGGCTGGGGCTGCCCCTTCCTTGGACTCACTGAATCCTAACAATGCTGTGATACAGGTGCCATTATGCCCATTTCACAGATGTGGAAGCTAAGGGCCAGAGGGTAAGCAACATGCCCAAGGTCACCCAGCTATTTAGTGGCAGAGTCAGCACCCAAACCCAGGTGTGGCTGGCCTCAGTGCTCAGTGCTTAACCAGCCTGCAAGATGGTCACGGACAAGCTGGCCCTCCCCCAGCCCCACTGCCCATTACCAGGGAAAGCAAGCAGAGCGAAACCAGAGCTCAGTGGTCTCTCTGAGAACTGGCGAGCCCAGGTCCTTGGAGCCTGCACTGGGGCCAGCTGACTCCTTTTCCTTGGAGGGTGACGTCTTGCTTTCTGTCCTCCTTCAGGTCTTCTTGTCCCCTTCTCAGGCAAGACCAAGGGTACCTCCGACCTTGACCACTTCCTGGCCCTGCCCACTCAACCCAAGCAAGGCTGGGGGCTCCCTTCCTTCTCCTGGACTTGCAGCCGACCCACAAGGGCCCTGTCCCTGGGTGTGTGAGCCTGCCTTACTCTCCGCGACACACTTGTCCCCTCTGGGCCACACACTGCTTCCTTCACGTCATTGCCACCATCTGTGCGCCCCTGCTATGCGTTTGCACTCTGCCAAGCTCTCTACGGATCCTACCCCCTCCTCTTCTCAGCAGCCCAGTGAGGGCAGCACTGCTCTTATCACCCGCTTACAGTCTACTAGGACACTAGCGATGTAGGGGCTAAGGGACCGAGATTCGGTCACTCGGCTGACGCACGGGAAGTAGGGAGATAACCTCACGTCTGATGAATACCTCCGGCTCCCCGTGCTCAGTCAGGGGACAGAGCTACCACCAGCTCACCCACATGTGCAGAGGCCGGGGATGTGTGTCACCTTGAGAAACTTTTCTGGGTCAGCAGTCGGCTGGGCCTCAGCCACGAAGCTTCTCCGTTCCTCCTCTTGGGCCAGCGTGAGTTTTGCCGTCCCCTCCACCTGGTGAGCCAGAGACACCTTGACCAGGTCTTTGCCTCGCTGGACAAACTCTGGGATTGAAAAAAGCCACAGCACAGGAGGTGACTCTCTGAGCCAGACTTTCAGTGGGGACCCTCATGTGTTCTCCTGTCCAGAGGCTGGGGAAGCTTGTGTTGGCCACAGAGATAGTGCCCGCCCTGCCGGTGACAGACCTGGGTTTCCTTCTGTGGGTCCTACTGGAAGTGTGACCTCAGCTAAGCCCAGATGCCTCTACGTCTTGAGCCTTGCCCCACCCGTACCCCAGGGTCAGCCTTGGGACAGGAGCATGCGTGGGACACACACACGGCTCAGCCACCCCGCACGGCTCAGCCACCCCGCACGGCTCAGCCACCCCACACGGCTCAGCCACCCCGCACGGCTCAGCCACCCTGGACTCCCCTTCCTGCCCCACACGCTGGACGATGGCCCACCCTTGCCCACCCTGCCGCTGAGCAGGGCCACATGACTCCGGCAGGACCGTGAGGGGACGCTGGGCGACACGGGCCACTTTGTGTAAATTTCCAGTGTGAGACCCTCACCCTCCTGTGTCCCTCTGCAGTTCCCGGTGACTTTGCTGCAGGACACGAGGGCTCAATCAGCCCGAATCCCTGGTGAGTGAGGGCAGCAGGTGATCCCTGCCCTGGGCACTGGTCCTCATGGCCTCTGCTGTCCAGAGAAGGGAAGACAGCCCCAGAGAGCAGCCCAGTGACCCAGTCCCTAGGGCAGAAGCAGAAAGGCCGCCTGTGCCCACGTCATGGGCACACTGCCCCAGGCTGCCAGCCCTTACACCGCTCAGCCCCAGGGACCCAGAAGGCCAGCGTCGTGGACCACGGCACCCGCGCCCACGGCTCACCCCGGCTGAAGTGCTCCGCCTCCTGCCAGAAGGCCCTGTGCTGCTGCGTGAGCAGCTCCTCCTTCTGCCGCCCGGACAGCTTCCCCTCACCGGCCAGCAGCTCCAGGCCACGGGAGATGGCAGCCAGCCGGCACCTCGTCTCCTCCTGGACTTGCAGCTTCAGAAACTCAATCACTTTTGCCATGTGTGCCCGCCCCATCGTCCTCTCCAGGGCATCCTGCAGAAAGAAACACACAGGACCATAGCTGGGGTGTCCTGGGAACCACCAGGGCACGTTAACTCATGGCTGGGAGGAGACTGCCAGGGTCATTAACTAATGGCACTGCCTGGCGATCGGCTTCCGGGAGAGCAGAGCTCAGAGGAATGAACTCCCCTTCTCCTTCATGAGTGAGATCTGGGTCTGCTCCCCAGGTGAGGATTAAGTGCCTCTCCTAGGGGTGCAGGGAGGGTGACGCTGGTTAGCACATAGGCACTTAGTCGCCAGTAGCACTCCCCAGAGAGCCACTCTCCTAGGAGAGAATCCAGATTTGCAAACAGTCAAGGAGGAAAAGCCACCTTGCTTAGAGTCACCTCCCCTGGCCAATCTGGCCCTGTGGCCCCCACAGGGCTGGGGAGGAAACGCGAAATGCCAGCAGTTCTGGCTTTCTTTCCAGCCCCAGAGAGCCTGACTGGGGACGGCTGAGATTTTCAGGGGATTGATTGGCTTCCAACATGACTCCCCACAGTCAGATTCTGCAGAAGGCCCTCTCCGGCCCCATCTCATCATTTCACAGACCCTTAGAAAAGACAGGGGGAAATGTCCACCCAGGCAGCCAAGGCCCTGCACACCCGAGAGCGGCTGCTCGTGGAATGAGAGTAAGGGGGAAAGGAGGAGCGGGCGGGGGCCTCGGCATCTCCCTCGGCACAGACTCTGCACCCCCTACACCCAACCACGCCTCGCTCAGGCCTGTCCTCAGTGCTGGGCCGAGGCCACGGGCCAGTCCTGCTCCCCAGCCTCCCATCTCTGCCTCAGGCTCTGACCCCACCTCACAGACCAGGGGGCCTTTCAGAGATGCTGATGCTTCTGTCAGCCATGGCCCCAAACCCTCCTGTTGCTGCCCTGAGATCAAGTCCAACGCCCCGGGCGTGGTGCAGGAAGCTCTGTGGGGCTTTGTCCCACACACCTGCCTGCTCCCGGCCACCCAGCCTCTGCACATGCGGAGCCCTCCTCCTGGAACACCCTCGCTGCCTCCTCTCACTCCCCTGCCTGGCCAGGTTCTTCTCATCCTCACGGGTTCTGTGGTCCTTCCCTGCTTGTCCCCACCCTCACTGGTCCCCTGCTCTGTTCCCCACTGCCCCAGGGTTCCTGTCTTCGAGGAGGTGATTGTGAGGGGCAGTCCTAGCCTGGACTGAGAGCCCTTGAAGACAGGGGCCAGGCCTGAGTTGCCCATGTCCCCATTGACCAGCCATGGCCACACTGCACTGAGCTGCACTGGCCTCTGTTCCCACAAGACCAGGGCAAGAATATCCCCCAGTGATGGACACGGATGGCGAGGCTCATTCCAGCAGCCTGTGACCACTAGAGGGCACACGAGGATAAGCGGAGGTGCTGGGTGGACCACAGGAAGACCGGCTCTGGCCACCTCTAAAGAACACAGGAGGATGTTGAGAACCCAACACAGGCTGACTAGGGTAGGGTGCAATCGATGGGCTTATATTGGAGGGAGGATGAGAGTGGAGAGAGGTGCATGAGAAAAGGGATGTGGGATGTGGGATGGGGGCCCCGACCTGCTCTGAGTATGGCTGAGTCCTCGACAGTGCTGCGCTCAGACTTGGCTCCTTGGACCTGGGCACAAGCTCCTCACCTGACCCCCGCCACATAGATTTGACGTGAGGATTAAGTAAGTCAAAATATGTCAAGCATTGAGAACAAGGGCCGGGGCACTGTGAGCCTCTGAGTGTTAGCTGTTTTCATCATTATCTACAGCCGGTCCCCACATTTGTCTTGGCAGCTGTTTATTTCTTGTGTGTCTCAAGAAACTGAATCTGATCACCGCCAGGGTCCCTTTGAAGGGCTCTTCCAGTTTTAATATTCAGAGATGCACATTCCAGCTCCAAATGCCCAGGCCAGAAAGATGGGATGCCACTGTGGGAATTCCAACTCTTCTGGGTTCTGAGATATAGAAGCCATATTTTCCCCCTTTGGTACCCGGTATGCAGGCACAGTGAATCCATCCCTCTTCCATACAAACATAGACCGTGTAGCCCTGTTCACGCATCATTACAATAATTTGTTGTTGTCTGTTTCTTCTGCTGACATGTGGCCTGTGGGGCTCTAATGACTAACAAGTACTGAATGCTTCCTATGTGCTGGGCTCTGCTCTAAAAAGTCTATATACAGACGAGTCTTTAACACTCTCAACTACCCCTGTGAGAGAGCAGGTGCTATTACAGCCCCCATTGCACAGATGATGAAACCAAATCACAGAGAGGTTAAATTATCTGCCCAAGATCACTTAGCTAACGAGTGGCAAGACTGCAGCGGGAGCTCCAGTTTCTTCCCCGAGCCTGCATTCCTAACCTCTGCAATATGGTTTCCATTAACAGCATGTGGCACACAGTAGGTGCTCATTAAACACTGGCTGAAGGACAGTCATGCTGTTAAACTGGATGATCCCTTTTCGTCTTCCTGTTTGGAAGTTATTGGCTGATACTCTGGCCAGAGTCAGCTAAGGATGTATTTTCTTTTTTCTGCATCAATATCCTGCTGATAGCAAAAGAAAAAAAAAAAGGAAGAAAAATCTTTCACCTTTGCAGAGCATTAATATGAGTCAGCAGCCCTATCAAACTGAAATCCAATTCAAAGGGGCTTGGGCAGCAAACCAGGCAGCTTCAGGCCCAGGCTCAGCGATGTCATTAGACAGGACAGGGATCTTAGGTGGTCTGAGTCTTAGGTCCCTGAGTGGGCTCCTTATCAGTACGCTGCGAATCAAATATCTTCCAAGCCTAGCTTTCGGTAGTGTTGAGAGAAAAAGCAGGTCATGTGTGCATATGCTGAGAAAAAGCATATGAAGTTCTCAAACAACTGTGTGGACGTGGGGGTCTTGTTACAGTGTAGACCTGTGTGGGAGGGGTGGAGGGCAGAATTCTGCATTCTAACCAGCTCCCAGTGCTGCCGATGCTGTGGTCTGCGGATCACACCTGGAGGAGCAGAACGGATTGGGAGAGGCCTGCGGTGTGCAAGGGGTGGTGAGGGTCTGCCGAGGCTCGGCTTTCTCACGGGTCCGAGGAGCTGAGTCTGTGCTGAGGGCGGGGAGGCCACTGGAGGGTTCTGAGCCGAGCAGCCACAGCGGCTGGTGCACAGGACAGGGAAATGGGCGCAGAGCAGCATCAGAGGACTCATTCCCTGGGCCTAGTACACACTGACTGGCGCACACAGGACAAGCCCAATGTGTACCAGGAGGAACCCAATGGTGACTGGGGTATTAGGAGTCACTCAGCATCTACCCAGGCCCTGTCTGTGGCAACTCTTAGCCCTATTATTTTATAAATAGAGGAACAGACGCTCAGAGAGGCTAAGTAATGTGTTCAAGATCACACAGCTCCTAACAACAGAGCCCAGAGTCAAAGCTGCATTTGCAGATTTCTCTCCCATGAGTGTCCAACCCTTTGAATGTGAGGACTTTTTTGCTTATCTGTGGTTGGCAGGTTTCACAAAAATAAGCAGGGACCTTTTTTGTGTTTTGGGGTTTTTTGCTCATCAGCTATTGTTAGTGTTAGTGTATTTTATATGTGGCCTAAGACAATTCTTCTTGCAATGCGGACAGGGAAGCCAAAAGGTTGGACACTCATGTACCAGGGGTTTGTATCCCTGGCCTCCCATCAGAATAGTTCACAGAGTTTTAAAACCCACAATGCCGGGGCCTCCACTCCAGACCAATCACATAAGAACCTCAGAGTGAAGGCCAGGAAAAGGCATTGTTTAAGAACTCTGCAGGCAAAACAGGGCAGTCAGGAAAGTAAATCAATGCTGTGTCTACACCAGTGGGCGTCAACCCCAGCACCCACTGTCGTCATTGGGGAGCTCTAAAAACCCTAGTGCCCAGTCAGGTTGCACCCCAGTCTGATTAAGTCAGAAACTCTGGGATGGAGACCCATCTGGGGCCCAAGAATCAGTACTTTTTAAAGCTCCCCAGATAATTTCAATGTGTAATTTCAAGTTTAGGACCAGTGTTCTATGCTGTAGTAATACTGAGCTGGCCAGAATCTTTACTCATTGGATGGATGGATGGATGGATGGATGAATGGATGAATGGATGGATGGATGGATGGATAGATGGATGGATAGATGGATGGATGGATGAGTAGGTGGATGGATGGGTGGATGGGTAGATGGGTGGGTGGGTGGATAAATGGGTGGGAGGGCAGATGGATGGATGGGTGGATGGATGGGTGGATGGATGGATGGGTGGATGGATGGATGGATGGATGGATGAATAAATGGGTGGGAGGGTAGATGGATGAGTAGATGGATGGATGGGTGGATGGGTAGATGGGTGGATGGATGGGTGGATGGGTGGATGGGTGGATGGATGGATGGATGGATGGATGGATGGATGGATGGGTCAATGGGTGGATGGCTGGGTGGATGGATGGATAATAAATAAATGGATGAATACATGGATGAATGGATTTACTGTTTTTTTTTTTTTTTCCCTGAGGCTCTACATAACCAGCTACAACATGAATCTGTTAGATTTAATGATGTCAAGCCTCGGGATTCCAAATCTCTAGTCTGAATATCTTTATGTTCCCTGCCACCCCCTCCAGCATTACCAGAGCCTGCAGCTCCTGAGAATCGCACAATAGCCCTTCAGCGGCAATCATTCTTTCCGTCAGAGTCATCACGAGCTGTCGGGCTTTGGAGCTGGAACACTTAAACTGGTCCACAAGAAAGTGCTGGATGTTCGCCATCTGTTTCCAGAAAGCTTCCATCTGTGAAATGAGCACAAGCAACATGAAGTGAGGGAAAAACTTACTTAAGAAAGCCAAACGGTGCATGCTTGGGAATTACAATTCACTCCTTATCACAAATAAGGATTCTAAACGATTCTACAATTTCAGTGAGTTTATCTTGGCAACAATCACATTCTACAGTAAAGTTCCTTCTGGTTCCATTGCAAGTGCCAGTCAGTTCTGCGACGGTGTTCCAGCAGACACAAGAGCACTGCTGCTAAGGTAAGAAAGCGGTAGCTTGTCCAGCCTACAGACTTTTGCATGGGTCATTACAGCTACCTAGGGGCAGATGAAATGTGACAATGCGCTCATAGAAGCTTTGGGAATTTTAAAAGGGATTAAATACTTCCTGGAAGTAAAAGTATAAACTGACGTTTAAATGTTAGTTTTTGTTCTAAAAGTACAAAAGCTTAATATGGCAGAGATGATGCTGACCATGAAAACATTTTGCTTTAAAATCTTCCCGCCCCCTCATTTTATCAGGAGCAGAGCTGGGAATTCCTAAGTGGCTTAGAATGCAGGAGGTCTAATTGTGTCATCACAGCCAGTCAGAGCTCTAAGGACAATGACACTAGGAATCTGAACAACTTTCCCTCATGGCCCACAGGCTGTTCACCAGGCTCTGTGCTTCACACATTTGATATCATAATAAAGTATCTATCCGGAGATGTAGGAACGGGCTTGGGGGAGTCAGGTCACTTGTCAGAGGTCATGGAGCCAATGAAAGCCAGGATTTGGCTCAGTCCCATTTAACTCCACCGCTGGGGTTGCCTCCATCTCAGCTCAGCCTCTCAGAGGCTGAAATGGACACATCTGGCTGGACCAGGCATGGGAGGGGGCAGGGGTTAGTGACACCAGAAACCCATGCTGATCTTGTTGCTGTGACTCAAGGTCATGAAACTCTGTCAGCCTCAACTGCGGCGTTGGTCTGGCTCTGCCAGGAGGAAGCCTGCACCCAGATGAATGCCCCCTATCAATGCAGCTTCCCATCTCAGGGCCCCATTGCCTCCCAGTAAACCCCACACATGCTGCTGGTCAGCTCCTCCTCCCATCCCTGCCAAGAGGGACCTCAAACCTGCCTAGCACCCTCATGTTCTCACCTTGCTCTTCCCCTTGGAGCCATCAAATGACATGCCTCCCACCTGACATGAGACTGCAGACTGTCACACCGCCAACTCGGCACACCCTGCTCTGCTTACACCAACTGCTTACGCCAACTCTGCACACCCTGCTCTGATTCTCTTGGCGTCTGTGACCTGACTTTCTCCTGCTTCTGCAAAGCCCATCCAATTCCTCCTCTGCTTTCTTGTCCCAATTCTTCTCATCCCCTCCTCCTTAAATACGGGCAGGATTCAAGATTTGACACCAAGCTCTTTTCTCTTCCCATTTTACACACATTTCTAGGCCAGAGATCACCATTTTTGGAGGTCACCAATACTTTGGAGAATCTTATGAAAAAACTCCGAACCCTCTCCCTGAGAAAGGCAGACATGGACAAGATGCTGCACATAGCATTGGGGGTTCTGTGGACCACGGGAATCCAGGCTGTGCCCTCTTCCTTAGCATCCTGGTCCACAGTTCTAAGAACTTTCTATCCCTCCAGGTCCTCTAACCTGGGCTCTCATGGAGACCCTCCATCTCCAAGCCTCTCCTCTCAACACTGGACCTATTCAGAGGAGAGGAGCACTGGCTCCCTCCCTCCCATGAGCTTCTTGCTCTGGGGCCCTTATTTTAGCAGCACTGACCCTGGACCCCCTCCACCTCCCCACCTGCCGCCCCTTGGTAGACCACCATAGCTTCTCTCACATGTTTCCTCACCTCTCCGTCCTATTGCAGTTGCCTTAATAAAGTTCCTGCTGGACTAGGCCAGTAGCTCTTCACCACCCTCCACTCAGTGCCTGGGCAGCCCTTCTAAAGGAGAAGCTGAACCCAGCTACTCCCTGCTTCAAAGCTTCAGTGACTCCCACCTCGCTGGCATAAGACAGAAGCCCTCTGGCCAGATCCCTCTGGCTTTACCTTACCTGGACTTGCTCTCAGCCCTCTTTAGCTCCTGTCTCCGCCTCATCACTGGCCAGCACCCACACTTCTCCCAGCCAGCCTCTCCAGGGCCCGTTCTTCTGTGGAGGCTTTCCTAAGCCTGGGGTAAAACGAACTCTTCCCTCCACTGTGCCTGCCTTGGGCCTTCTCCTGTGCTTCCTTCTATTACAAGACATGTCACCCTGTGAAGCCCTCACCTGCTCACCTGTTCATCTCTCCCGGCCTCTCTCAGGCAGGGCCATGTCTAAATGGTTTTGAGTCCCCAGTGCCCAGCACAATCCCTGGTGAAAAGCGAGTGCCAAGGACATGTTTGTTTAATACATAGTATATGAACAGGGGGTGGAAGAATCCAAAAGAAAAGAAAAAGATGTTTCAGGGAAGCCATTCTGTCTAGAATTTAAAACATGCTTTCATGAGCGATGCCTAGCAGCTTTCTTCTACTCTATTCCAAAGGGCAGTGATGACATCAAGGGTTATAGCAATCTTTGCTTTGAATGACAGAAAGACTAATCTGAAATTTAAATGAGGATAATTCATGATATAAAAAATAAACCTCCCTTTGTGAATTGTTGCTGCTTAATTACTTCTTCCCTATCACTTAGCATCAGAAACTGGATCCTGCCTCTAGGGCAGAATGCGATAGGGGAATTCAAGTATTAGGCACACTTCTAACTATCATCTCTCTAATTTAGCCAATTTAACTGTTTTAGAAACCAAAATTTGTGTACAGGAAAGAAAGTCTGGCACGCACATTATCGATTAGCTGTTCAGAGTATTCCCTCTCCTTCTTTTCCACATCAGCCAGACTGATGTACTCAGAGTCACCAGCCCCCGACACTTCTGTGTTTGACAGTTTGACCTGAAGTCCCTTTTCTAGATCCTCCAAATCCTGAAGAAGAAGAAAAAAAGAAACCAAATAAACAAAGAAAAAGTTTAGTGTGTCTTAAATTCTAGAAAAATAAATGTTTTTATTTTTCACATTTCACAAAATATTTTTTAAAAATAGTTAAATGCTCTGGGGGTTGTTGTACATGAGGTTTGATAATAAACCTATTAGCAACAAACTCATTTTCTCATTAAACATAGAGCCTCAAGAATAATGAATTATTTTCTTCTATATCCTCCCTCAAAAAAAAATTATACCATACTTTCAAAATCAATAAAATAGTATCTTTCAATCATTCTGAAGTCCTGGAAAATATCATGATATCCAGTGGGTTGGAAAGGAATGTTTCTTTGCTCTTCTTCTGGTTTTCCTGGGAAAGAAGGACACCCCGGGGCCGGAAGTGGTGTGTATTTGATTGGTTGGTTTAAAAGCCAGAAGCTTGCCCAGCCTCTTCCTGTTTGTGATGGGCCAGTCAGGGGAGGCCACTGCTCTAGTGTGATCTCAGCCTAGAGTGAACTGGGTAGCCAAGGCCTTGTTTCTGTGTGGGGAAGCCTGAGGTGGCCCAGCATTGCCCATTACTAGCTAGGTAATTGAGTGAATTCTGGGATTCAGTATTAGGAAGCCATGATAGCTGTGCACTGAAGCCACGTCCTCCAAGCTGGCCTCTAATCAGTAATAAAGCTACATTTCCATATCTGTCTTCCTGACTCTCTCAAATGATTCTGAACTCAGGAAGGAAAAGGTCAGTCCTAAGAATAGAGTCCTACAAACCCCAATATAGAGTGTGGGAGACAGTTCCATTTTCTCTATGTTCCTTGTCACATAGCCAACAGTGTGGAATGGGTCCAGGTACATTAGGAAAAATAACATTGATATAAACTACTATTGAAGACCCAAGCTGAGGCCATATGTGTTTTCTAATCCTCACAGCATCTCTGCAAAAGAGAAATTATGACCCATTTCCAGGTGAGAAAGCTGGTTTATGGAAGGTAAGATAGTTTGTCCAAAGATGCCCAGGCAGGAAGGGGCAGTGCTAGGCTTGTCCTTACTCTTCCAAATTCTGGGCACTCCTTGTCCTCTTCTGAAAGTTTTAAGGTTATTGCAAGTGTTAAATGAAATTATGCATTTAAATCACTTGGCTAGACAAATAGTAGCCACTATTATAATTAACATGCTTGCTTAAGTTCAAACAGCCTTGTTTAACTGGTAGAGATGAGGTCTGCAGACTTCAGGGCTCTTATTCTTTCCATTATAACAGACAGTATTGTTTCATTATTCCTAATACAATTATAAATGTCATCATCATCATTATCATTTTTGCCATTGGAAAGTCATTTGAACTCATGGAGTCTCAGTTTCCTCAGCTGTAAAACAAAAATAATAATGGCCACTCACAGGGTTGTCATAACTATTAAATGAAATAATGTATGTCAAGCACCATGTGCACTGCCTGAGGACCATGACCATGGTGGTGGTACTGAGGATGACAGTGAAGACAATGATGTCCTTCCTCCTTCCTGGGATGCAGTGAGTCATCCTTCCTCATGGAATCCAGTGGAGTAAAGAAGCAGCATCCCTTCCCAAACCCCCAGGTCTCACGGTGGTGGGAACAAGGACAATGATGATATGATGAGGACTCTAATGAAGGTGAAGGTAGAGGTAGCAGTAAAGATGATAAAGATGGTGATGATGGTGGTGCTGATGAAGACTATCACGACAATGATGCGATGATGATGGTGGTAATGAGAATGATGACAGTAACAATGATGGTGATAATGAAAATGATGGCAGGGGATGATGAAGAAGAGGCTGGTGATAGCAGTAATGAGAATAATGATGACAATGATGGTGAGGATAAGGTGAGATAGGACACTGGCAGGACTTGTTTTCTGATCACAACCCTGCTGATCAAAACGGGATCTGGTCCAGACAGGATAAAGTGAAGAAACCAGCAGGAACCAGTGGATGGTGATGAAAGTGATCCCTTGCTGCCCTCGTTGCACATTAGCATAAGACACTCCCACCAGCACAACCACAGATTACAAATGGCATGTCAACAACTCAAAAGTTACTACTCCTTTCTATGGCAACAACCCAGAAGTTACTATCCCCTTTTTAGAAAGTTCTAAATAAACTGTCTCTCAATTTGCTCTGAACTGCCCCTTAATTTGCATGTAATTGAAAGTGGGTTTACAAGAGTATAAATACAGTTGCCAAGCACCCATATGTTACCAACTCTGGGCACACTATCTATGGGTTGGTCCTGCTCCGCAAGAAGTGGCACCATCCACTAAAAGACTTCCTAAGTGAAGTCAAGTACCCTCCTAGGCTACACCCTATTCTGGAGCTTGCCTGCCCTGCAACACTGGTAGTGGTGATGGCAATGAGGACGAGGATGATGATTATGGTGGTAATGAAGACGATGATGGTGGTGATGGTGGTAATGAGAATGCCAATGATTACAACAATGACAAAAATTATGCTCATGATGATGGTAATGAGGACATGAGGATGGTGATGGTGTTGGTGATGATAGTGGTCATGAGGATGATGATGATGGTGGAAAAGACAGAAAGAATGATGATATCAGTGGTGACAATAGCAAATATGATGGTGGTGATGGTGATGACAACAATGACATGATGAAAAAGAGAACTGTGATAGTAGTAGTGATGGTGATGATGGTACAAAATAAAAACGGTGGTGATAAGATAATGATGCTTTTGGTGGTGGTTGTGATAATGAGGATGATAGCAGCCTTCACAAATTCACAGTCTAACTCTAACTATGATGTTGCTTTGGTGCATCATACACATCTCTCTTATCCTTTCTGCACTCTCACAGAACAAGAATTATCTCATTGCACAAAAAAGAAACTAGGATTCTGAGAGCTTGTAAAAGATAAAACTGGGATACCAGCCTCAATCAATCTGACTCTAAGCCCTGATTCTTTGCTGCGCATGAAACAAAATAAACTTTCCATAAAAGACTGAGAATAGAATACAAAGTAGTATACATAGCTATAACCAATAAACAAATTATGTCTTTAAAAATATCCCACACTTATGCTGAAAAAAAATTAACAGTGACCGCCTTTGAGTAGTAGATATGACCAATATTCTTTTCTTCGTTGTAAATAGCATTCCAGATTTTAATAATACACTTTTCAAAATATTTGTATACATACTTTTATATTTCACTATACTGTATTAAAAAGTATATATTGTAATAAGCTATTTTATACATAAAAGAAAAATACTTTTGTATCATAAGTTGTATATATTATAATAAACTATTTTTAAGTTACCTTGAAACATAGGTTGAAGACTTACATTTTCCTGTTTTGAAAGGATCTTCTGGTAGAATTCATCATCTGACTTCTTTTTAGGAAGAAGGTCAAGGAGGCACATTTTAAAAATCTGAATAAACATCTATTGCCAAGAAAGGAAAGATAACGAAAGAAAAGTTTAACCAATGGTATTTTTGTCTTTTGCTTTCTATTGTCTCTTCCTCCCTCCCTCACTGGCTCTCTCCTTCTTTTCTTCTCTTTCACCCTCTCTTCACACATGTTTTTTGCTGAAGGAAAGGATCTCAGATTATAAATTATGACAGTGGCCCATAATGGATTACATTTTCATGAAGCTTCCTTAAAAAGCTTCATTTCTTCCTCATGCATGTATTCAACAAATATTAGGTGCTTATTCTGTGCAAGGCCCTCCACATCCCCATTTCCATGTGTGAAGCAAATATAAAAAGCAAAGGAGGGTATGCTTCTTTGAAGGAAGAATCAGGGGGATAGTTGTATGGAACTGGAAATGCAAAGTTATCCACGTCAGTCTCCTGTTTCAATGGATGAAGACGTCCTTTAAACCAGGAAGGACCCTCCCATAAGTAGGGATACCCAGGAAAGTAAACAGGGGCCTGTATCCACAATTTCTTGATCTATTCACCCTTGTTAAGACATCTGGATTATTTCCAGTTTGGGGCTATTATGAACAATGCTGCTGTGAACATTTGTGTGAATGTAAGTTGTCATTTCTCTGAGCTAAATGCCCACAAGTGCAATTGCTGGGTCTTCTGGTAATTACAATTTAAGTTTGATAAGAAATTGCCAAAACGTTTTCCAGTATGGCTGCAGGTACCATTTTATATTTCCATCAGCAATGTATGAGTGATCCAGTTTCCCGACATCTTTGCTGGAATTTGGTGTTGTCACTATTTTTTATTTTAGCCATTTTGATGAGTGTGTAGTGATATCTTATTGTGAGTTCAACTTGGATTTTCATGCTGGCTTAATGACATTGAACACCTTTTTAATGTGTTTACTTACCACCTATATATCCTTTTTGGTGAAGTATCTGTTTATGTCCTTCCCATTTTCTAACTGGATTGCTTCCTGTCTTCAGCTGAGTTTGGAAATTTCCTTATCTGGTCTAGGTACTAGTCCTTTGGTGGACATCTGTTTTGCAAACGTTTTCTCTCACTCTGTAGCTTGTCTTCTCATCTTCTTATCGAGGTCTTTTGCAAAGCAAAAGTTTTTAATTTTAATGAATTCCAGTTAATTTTTCCTTTTGTGTGTCATACTTTTGGTGTCAAGTCTGAAAACTCTTTGCCTAGGTCTAAATCCTGGAGATTTTCTCTTACATCATTTTTTCTTTTTCTTTCTTTTTTTTTTTTTTTTTTTTGAGATGGAGTATCACTCTGTCGCCTAGGCTGGAGTGCAGTGGTGTAATCTTGGCTCACTGCAATCTTCACCTCCCGGGTTCAAGCGATTCCCCCACCTCAGCTTCCGGAGTAGCTGGGATTACAAGCATGTGCCACCACACCTGGCTAATTTCTGTATTTTTAGTAGAGATGGGGTTTCACCACATTGGCCAGGCTGATCTTGAACTCCTGACCTCAAGTGATCCACCCACCTCAGCCTCCCAAAGTGCTGGGATTATAGGTGTGAACCAACCATGCCTGGCAATATTTTTTCTAAAAGATTTATAGTTTATTGTTTACATTTAAGTGTGTGATCCCTTTTGAGCTAAATTTTGTATAAGGTGTGAAGTTTAGGTTGAGGTTCTTTTGTCGTTTTTATTGTTTATGGATGTCCAATTACTCCAGTACCATTTATTGAAAAGCTCATCATTCCTCCATTGAAGTGCTTTTGCCTCTTTGTCAAAGGTCATTTAGATATAATTGTATGGTAAGGCATTTTCCTTTTCTTTTATGAACTGGTAAGGCTTTTTTTTTTTTTTCTTTTTTCTTTTTTTGAGACAGGGTTTCTCCGTGTTGCCTGGGCTGGTCTCGAACTCCTGAGCTCATGCAACCTGCCTGCCTCTGCCTCCCAAAGTGCTGGGATTACAGGCATGAGCCACTGCACCCAGCCTGGTAAGGCATTTTTAAATGCAGGGTTTAGCACACTTTTTCAGTAAAGGGTGACACAGCAAATTTTTTTTGGCTTTGCAGGCCATATGATCTCTTTTGCAACTACTCAGTTCTGCAGTTGAGGCATATGCCACACAGGCGCACAGGCAATATGGAAAAGAAGGGGCATGGCCAGATTTGGCTCAAGGGCCACAGTTTTTGATCCTTCTTTTAATGGGTTAAGGCTTGTTAATCACTCTTCTGTGCCAGCCTAATGTACGTATTATATATACTATCACTTGATCTCCATGGCATGCGGGGAGGTTGGTACCATCTTCCCCATTTTGCGGATGAGAAAATGCCCAGCAACTTGCAGGGGCCACTTGCCTCCTGCCACACAGCCACACGCGATAGAGTTGAGATTCGAACCCAGAACTCTGCCCACCAACCTTCACTGTATTTGCCAATGACAATGAGCTCTAAGAAGAAAGTGGCTTTCTACCCACTGAAGATTGATATAGTGTAAGATATAATAACATTATTTTTGCAAGATGTTAGTTTCGAATCTACTTTCTTCCTGACCCCAAATGAATCAGTAATGTTTACAGCCCTCATCCTCTCCCTTTCCATAGTGCCAACTCTGACATAGTTACAGACTCAAATGAAGGTACAAAAATAAAACAAGCATACCATGGAGATATTGTAGGGTTGATTTCAGGCCACCTCAGTAAGGTGAATATCACAATAAAGCAAGTCACACACATTTTTGGGTTTTCCAGTGCATATAAAAGCTATGTTTACACTATACTGTAGTCTAAGAGTACAATAGCAGTATGTCTAAAAAATGTACATACCTTAATTTTAAAAATACCTTCCTCCTAAAAAATGCTAATGATCATCTAAGCCTAAGATGATTATTTTAAAAAAGTTGTTGGGCTGGGTGTGGTGGCTCATACCTGTAATCCCAGGACTTTGGGAGGTGGAGGCAGGCAGATCACGAGGTCAAGAGATCGAGACCCATGCTGGCCAACATGGTGAAACCCCGTCTCTACTAAAAATGCAAAAATTGGCTGGGTGTGGTGGCGCAGGCCTGTAGTGCCAGCTGCTCAGGGGGCTGAGATGGCAGAATCGCTTGAACCCAGGAGGCAGAGGTTGCAGTGAGCTGAGGTCTCCATCTCAAAAAAAAAAAAAAAAAAAAAAAAAAAAAGTTGTAATCTTTTAGCTGGTGGAGGGTCTTGTCTCAATGCTGATGACTGCTGACTTATGAGGGTAGTGGCTGCTGAAGGTTAGGGTGGCTGTGGCAGTTTCTTAAAATAAGACAACTCTGAAGTTGGCCACATCAACTGACTCTTCCTTTCACAAAAGATTTCTCTGCAGCATGCCATGCTATTCGATAGCAATTTGCCCACAGTAGAACTTTAAAACTTGGAGTCAATCCTCTCAAACCCTGCAGCTGCTTTACCAAATAAGTTTATATAATATGCTAAATCCATTGTCATGTCAACAACGTTCACAGCATCTTCACCAGAAGCAGATTCCTTCTCTAGAAACCTCACTTTTGTTGCTCATCAATCAGAAGCAGCTCCTCATCCATTCATGTTTCATCATGAGATTGCAGCAGCTCAGTCCCATCTTCAGGCTCCACTTCTAATCCTAGTTTTCTTGCTATTTCCACATTTGCAAAGACTTCCTCCACTGAAGTCTTGAATCCCCTCAAAGTCATTCATGAGGATTGAAATCAACCTCTTCCAAACTCTTGTTCATGTTGATATTTTGACCTCCTCCTATGAATCATGAATATTCTCAATGGTATCTAGAATGGTGAATCCTTTCTAGAAGGTTTTCAATTTATACTGTTCAAATCCTTCAGAGGAATCACCATCTATGGCAGTTACAGCCTTAAGAAACGTATTTCTTAAATAATAAGACTTGAAAGTTGAAATGACTCTTTGATCAATGGGCTCAGAATGAATGTTGTTAGCAGGCATGAAAATGACCATTAACTTCCTTGTACATCTTCATCAGCGCTCTTGGGTGGCCAGGGGTTTTGAAAATGACCAGTAACATTTTGAAGAGAATTTTGTTCTCTGGGCAGTAGGTGTCAACAGTAGGCTTAAATCATGCTATAAACAGCTGTGTTGTGATCCAGGCTTTGTTGCCCCATTTATAGAGCACAGGCAGAGTAGACTTAGCATAACCCTTAAGGGCCCTAGGATTTTCAGAGTGGTGCATGAGCACTGGCTTCAACTTAAAGTCATCTCCTGAATTAGCCCCTAACAAGAGCGTCAGCCTGTTCTTTGAAGCTTTGAAGCCAGGTGCTGACTTCTCCTCTTTAGCTATGAAAGTCTTAGATGGCATCTTCTTCCATGACCACATTGTGCTATTTCATACATGTTGAAAATCTGTTATTTAGGGCAGCCACCTTCCTCAATGATCTTCACTAGATCTTCTGGGTAACTTGCTGAAGCTTCTCCATCAGCACTTGCTGCTGCTTCACCTTGCACTTTTATTTGTTCTGGAGACAGCTTCTTTCTTTAAACCTCATGCTCTGCTGGCTTCAAATTTTTCTTCTGCAGCTTCCTCACCTCTCTCAGCATTCACAGAATTGAAGAGAGTTAGGGTCTTGCTCTGGATTAGGCTTTGGCTTAAAGGGATGTTGTGTCTGGTTTGATCTTCTATGCAGACCACTCAGACTTTCTCCATATCAGCAATAAGGCTGTTTTGCTTCCTTATCATTTGTGCGTTCACTGGAGCGGCACTTTCAATTTCCTTCAAGAACTTTTTCTTTGCATTCACAACTCGGCTATGTGGTATAAGCAGCCCAGCTCTCAGCCTATCTCAGCTTTGAGCTACCTTCCTCACTATGCTTCATAATTTCTAGCTTTTGACTTAAAAGTGAGAGACATGCAACTTTCTTTCACTCAAACACCTAGAGGCCATTGCAGCGTTACTAACTGGCCTAATTTCAATATTAATGTGTCTCAGGGAATAGGGAGGCCCAAGGAGAGGGAATAGCCAGTTGGTGGAGCAGTCAGAACACACAGAACATTTATTAAGTTCGTTGTCTCATACAGATGCAGTTTGTGGTGTCCTCAAACAATTACGATCATAACGTCAAAGGTCACTGATCACAGATCACCATAACACATACAATAATCATGAAAAAGTTTGAAATATTGCAAGAATTACAAAATGTCACACAAAGACATGAAGTGAGCATGTGCTGTTGGAAAAATGGAGCCAATAGACTTGCTGGATGCAGAGTTGCCAAAAACCTTCAATTTGTAAAAAAAAAAGAAAAAAAAAATTTGCAGCATCTCTGAAGCACAATTAAGTGAAATGCAATAACGCCAGGTGTGTCTGCACCAAGTGCCGTGTGCTCCTCCCCCAGGAGTGGTTCTGATGTCACCATGGTGCAGTATCAAAACTGGGAAACTGCCACTGGTTGAATACCGCTGTCTACAGGCCTTATTCAGTTTTCACCCATCTTTATGCACATTTACGTGTGTGCATGTGTGTGCGTGTGTATGTGTGTGTTCTATGCAATTTTACCCCATGTATAGATTCACATAAACGCAGCCACAATCAAAGTAATATTCCAGCACCATGAGAACCCCCTAGTGCTGGTGCCCCCCAATCTGTTCTCATCCTGGCCACTCTTTTTATAGAGGTTACACTCCAGCTTCTCCTGCCTCTTGGACAAACCCAGAGCCAGTTTCTTCCTCCTCAGGGCCAGCCAGGGAGCTCCAAGTTTCTGGGATGCATGAGGGCCTCATGTGGTCTGAATAATTTCTGAACCCCAGCTCATCTCTCCCAGGGATATAGAGCTTTAGGTCTCCAGGCAGCACAGCTCCCAGAGGCTCCTCAGGTTCTTATAGTCCCAGCACTCGACAATAGAGTTGTGCTCCTCACAGCAGGAAGGACTGTGCTGGGAAGCAGCTCTCCCAGGGCGGTGCCAATCACACGTGCAACACATTTCTCCTGAGCACCTTTGACGTGCAGGGTGCAGGGCTACACCTGGGCATGCAGGGGCCTTGCACTCAGACCTTGTCCAGGTCTGATTCTGCCATCACCAGCTGTGTGACCTTGGACAAGTGACTTAACCTCTCTGAGCCTCAGGTTCCTTGTTAGTGAAGTGGCATGTAAACCTTTAAAGAAGATTTAAAGCACCGAGCCTACCAGAGTGTACATGCAGAATAATCGCTGCTGTGACCATGCCAGTCACACAGCTGTGACATGGAGCCCAGGGTTCTACCCACAGAACCCTCTCAAAGTGGGAGAGCTTGACTTCCCAGTAACTCCATATAGCAATAGTTGAAAGGATGTTTTCTTTAAGCCTTTCCTAAAGTGGCCCAGAGAGGTGAAGCAACTTACCCAAACAGCTCCTAGTTGTCAAAGGGTGGACTAGAGCCCAGGTCTCTCTCCCTTAATCCAGTGTTCCTGGAACCTCCCTGGGTTTCCGCCCATGAGACTCCCCGCAGGGAAGCCTGACCATCTCCCCAGCTCTACACTCCCTCAGGTGCCCCCTTCACATTCACATGGTGCTTTGTCACAGGCCTTTGTTATGCTGCCTGCCACTGTTTATTTTGTGACCTCTGTTTACCGCCCTCCCCACTGCCCCAGAGAGTGGGCTCCACAAAGGCAGAGGCCGCCCCTGGTGTCTGACACCGTGCCTGGCAGTGTGCAGAGGCCGTGCCCCTGTGCTGGATGGTGAGTGATGGTGAACACTCCCTCCAGGACTGCAGGCTGCTCCCTGTGGTCACTCGCTGGCTGTGGGGCGAGGCTGGCCAGGACTACTCTGCTCGCCAACTGGACAGGCTCTGAGCCCAGAAACAACTGGTCCTCCCAGGGAGCATGGAGCCTTGGAGAAAACAGCCAGGGCCGGGTGTAGCTCACTGAGGCAGGCTGCAGACACAGGCTGCCTGGTGGCCCCCATCCAGGGACCTCCATGGGGCTGGGGGTAGAGGGGATGAAGGGCCATGCTCTATTTCTTGAATTCTAGCATATTTACGGTTTCAAACATTGGCACCCGTTTATGAGGCCAGTCAGTCCTGCTTACACAGAGCCCAAGTTTCTTTCAGGCACATCCCCAGTGTGCTATTCTTGTTCTGTTTTTGTTTTTTGAGACAGGATCTCGCTGTGTCACCCAGGTCAGAGTGCAGAGGTGTGATCACAGTTCACTGCAGCCTCCATCTCCTGGACTCAAGTATTCTTCTCACCTCAGCCTCCTGAGTAGTTGGGACTACAGGCATGCACCACTGCAGCAGGCTAAGTGTTTGTTTGTTTGTGTTTTTGGCAGAGATACGGTTTTGCCATGTTGCCCAGGTTGTTCTCAAATTCCTGGGCTTAAGCAATCCTCCCACCTCAGCCTCCCAAAGCCTGAGATTACAGTCGTGAGCCACCACACCTCGCCTCCAATGTGACATTCTTGCCCTTCTCCAGTTTGTAAGAGTGCCCTGTAGACATATCTGTGTGTCTGTCCACCTCTGTTCCTAGCTGTCCCCTTTCTCTCATCTGCCTTCTCTCTGTAGGGTCTCATCCCTCAATCAGTAATTCAGAGAATGTGCCTTATGGAGAAATAACACTTATTTTTAACCGCTGTTGTCTTGATGCCTGAATACACCCACCAGGGTTCTGCAGCTACATTGGGACTCGTCTCTCTGGTTTCCCATAGCTCAGGTCTACAGTTGATGCAATAAGAGGCCAGGTGCACCTGGCAGAGACTAATGTTTTCCCCACATCCACAGTTCTGAGTTCTCGTTCATTCAGTCAAGAGAACACGTGGCCCCACAAAAAGGTACTGAACGTCTCATCTCAGCGCCACCCCTGCAGCTTTATCACTTTGGGTAAGTCATCCACCCTGTGCCACAGTTTTCTCACCTGCAGAGTGGACATGATAATGACACCTGCCCCTCTGGGTTGTGCTGAGGTTTAAGGGTGATACTCCTGGGACCTAGCACATAGCAAGACTCAAGAAAATTCATGTTCATAAATATTCTTATCATAATTATCATTCCTTTAAAAATATTATTCTCTTTTAAATATCTCTTATCTCTATCTGCAGCAGGAGGTGGTACCCCGGGAGGAGGACGCATCTTTCTGCTGAGGCCCCTACAGCTCTGGTTAAAGTCAAGGCCATGCCCCACCAACAGGCATGAAGTGCTTTTCCATTGTGTGTCTGGATGCCTGACAGCGCTGCCTTCCCCACCTCGCAGCGGCTCCGTTTCCACTGACGTCTGCCTCTCAAGGGTACCTGGGACTCACTGCACCCAGAGGCCCTGTGCCCAGCTCCTGTCCCCGTGAAAAGGAGGGAATGCGAACATCTCCACCTACCATGTGCTTTTCCTGCCTCAGTGCTGTGTCCAAATGCAGCAGGTCTTTTAAGTGAAGGCTGTAGATACATAGGTCGATGTCTATGCTGCAAAATAAAATGAGAATCGGAAAAGACTTTCAGGGTATCAGAAATGATGAGTCAGGATATTGGCATGTCTCTAATCAGTGCAAGCCACAGCACACCCTGCCTCAGACTCTCATTCTGCAGCACACTGAGGTCCTTACACTTACTCCAGGTTTATAAGAAGGGATCTAATGAGCTATTTGAAACCCACTAACGGCCGGAAGAGAACAGCTGGTGTCAGAGACATAGCTGCCTGGGGCTTCCAAGAGAAAACCAAAGGAGAGAGAGAAGGGAGAGAAATAAAAATGACGTTTCCTCCTTTGAGTATTTTCTAAAAAACATTTTATTTACTTATCTTTTCAGAAACAGGGTTTTGCTCTGTCTCCCAGGCTGGAGTGCAGCGGTACAATCACAGCTCACTGCAGCCTCCACCTCCTGGGCTCAAGCAATCCTCCCTCCTCAGCCTCCTGAGTAGCCAGGACTACAGGCGTGTGCCACTATACCCCGTTGATTTTTGTATTTTATTTTACAGAGGGGGTCTCACTATGTTGCCTAGGCTGTTCTTGAACTCCTGAGCTCAAGCAATCCACCCACCTTGGCCTCCCAAATGTTGGGATTACAGGCGTGAGCCACGGTGCCCAACCTCAAGCATTTTCATGTCTATCATCACATGTCATCTTTCCTCAGTGCCTTAGCGGAGACATACTCATGCCCATTTTACAGATGCAGAAACTGACTCAGGGAAGAGAGAATCAGAGAAATCAAGTGACCATCAGAGGGTCAGCGGGGGCAGATACACGGCAGAGTGTAAAAGTCTTTGACCTTTTTTCCCTTCAGGCAAATACATTTTAAATGATGACTCTCCCACCCAAACCATTTCAAATCCTCTAAGTCCAAATGCTGAAAGAAAGCCGTTCTAAGCCAGGCCTGGCCAATCCAAGAAGGCCCCTCTTCAATGAAGTCCCTTCTGCCTGGGCCACTTTCAGGCTCAAGGCGCTGAGCCCAGTCTTTTTGCAGCAGCCCTGAGCAGAGGCCGTGCCCTGGCTCATCCCACACCTTGGATTCACGGAATTGTGGAGCAGAGAGAGGCCTGAGGCCTGGTGTGTGAACCTGCCAGCCTGAGTTTCTCGAGCCCCTACCATGTGCAGAGCCCTGTTCTGGGCTGGATCAAACCTGGCTCCGTCACTAACCGCTGTGTGACCAGCAAGTCACGCAACCTCTCTGCGTTTCCCTTTATTCTTTGTGGACTGGGGGAAATGACAGTACAAACTTCACAGGGGTATTAAAAGAAATTCATTCGTTCACTGATTAATACTTATTGATTGCTGAACCTGTCCCAGGCTCCCCCTCACTGGGCAAAATCCTCATGAGATCATCAATCCCTGTAAAGTGATTAGCACTCTGCCCACTTAATCAACTTCACCAGCAGCTAAGGGCATGCCAGTGATTAAATGAGGCCTCCTTGTCATCTCTCCCCGGGGATCAGGCCTGACTCCATAACTCCAGTGTTGGGCAACACAGCACAGGAAGTGACAAATGCATCTGGGGCTCCGACGGTGACGCTGGGTCACTGTGTGTCCCTGGCAGAGTCACTGAACCTCTCCGGGCCTCTGTTTCCTCCTCTGACAATGATGTGACTCCCTGGCCCACTCCAAGAGGACCGGAAGCCTCATCCTCCATCGCCCCCTCTCCTTACCTCTCACAAGCCAGCACCTCGGGGAAGGCGTTCACCCGGAGGAAGGTGCGGCTGAGAAACCTGTCATCGCTGGTGGCCGAGTGGACGCTGGATGAGGAGCTGCAGTCGTCCTTCTCACCCTGGCTCAGGCTCCCCAGGCTGCTGGAAGGGGAGGCCTCTACCGGCTGGTGCGGCAAAACAGCCTGCTTTAAGTTTTCATGCAGAGACGGGTTGGAGGAGCCATCGGCCAGAGGCTGGGGTGGCAGTAGGAAAGTCACACTCATTCCATGTGATGCCTCAGGGATTTGATCTAGTATTCATAATTCTACCAGTGACTCATGCTAGCCGCTCACAGGAAGGCCTGGCTGGAGGAGACTGGCCAGGGTGCCAGCAGATACCACAGAGCTTCCATCCCAGGTTCTGCCACACTCACATCCCAAAGGCCCGAATCACAGTTCACTTGTCCTCATGAGGTCAGCCCCTCTGCACCAGGCTCCTCCTAAACTGCCAACCTGGATCTGTTCCCCGGACACCCAGCTGCACCCTCCTCCCAGCTGCCAACTCTGACTTCCTCCACAGCCAGTGCTTGCCCTGACCCAGTTCTCTCGCTGCTGTCCGACCCCCTGGCCTGCTCCCTCCATGAATCCTGCCAACCACCTGTGCTTTGCCTGCACAGAGCAGGAGTCACCCTCCTGTCCCCTGCCCACCAACGGGCTCCACGCTCCTAATCAAGAAGCTGGAGCACCATGCACACCAGGCCCACAGGGGGTCACAGCCTGGGGCCTGGCACGGCTAGAGGGCCCAGCAAATGTCAGCCTCCACCTCTGGTGGCCCAAGCCACACTGAAGTGGCTCTGGCTTATACGCTCCCGGTCACTTCATAATTCTGGGCCTTTCCAGACTTTGGTCCCCCTGCCTGAAACACCCCCCATTTGTTGTTTGCTGGGTGGAAGTGTCCCTCCCTCCAGGTATGGATTTCGGACGCCGTACAGGCTCCACAGGTCCCTGGGCATCTGCCTCTTGCCTATTTCATCACGTACTGTCCTGCATTCTCAGTGTATTCTGATCCACCCAGGCAGTGAGGGCCTCCAGCGTGGGGCTGACGCTCTGCTGACCACAGCGTGATCCCCAGGGCCCATGCAGGGCCTACCCAGAGGATGCAGAAATGCCCTTTATCCACCACCCGTCCCACCCTTCAACCATGTGAAGGACGTGGTTCCCAATGTGGGTTCCAGGGAATAGTTCCATGAGCCAGTTACTGCTCACCACAAAGGTTCCATGGAAAAATTAGTTCGGGAAAGCCTGTGTTAAACAAGGTGACATATTCCTTTGGTGCAGGAATTCTCAGAACCTTCAACAGGCTTTGGCTGTCTTCAAAAGCAAATAATAATTGAAAGATCCTAACATGTTCTGAGTGCTTAGATGTTGTGTGCTGTTCTGAGCTCTTATGTATGTTATCCTGTGTAACACAAAACAACTGGGCAAGGCAGGAGCACCAACATCCCCATTTCACAGATAAAGAGACTGAGGCAGGAGAAGTCAGGAAGCACCACACAGTGAATGGCTGAGATGGGGTTAGGACTGAGTCGCTGTGACTCCAGAGCTCGTCATCCTGACCACCGAGAAGGCAAGCCCAAACTTATTTCACTAGGAAACTTTTTTGCACAAAGCACCTCCCAGGCTGAGGACTCCTGGAAGCGCCATGGAAGGTGTAACCATAGCCAAGTGTTGGGGTCTGACTCAGGCTCTGCCACTTCCTGTCACATGACCTCAGGTCACTAGCCACTCTGGGCCTCAGTTTCCTTATGTGTAAAGTGGAGACAATATTATTTACCTGATAGGCACCAAGTTGAAATGCCTAATGCATGACAAATACTGAGCACGACACTGGCCCAATGCACGTAAGTGTTCAGTAAGTGCCAGTTGCTGGCATTAGTCCAGGGCTCTGTGAATGAGGATTAGCGCTCAGAACTGAGTCGGTATCAGTGTTTGTATTAGTGTTAAAAAGGCAGAGAGGGAGCTGTCCTACTGCGCTGTCACCTCGTGTCCCTGGGGATACGAGGAACCATGAAACTTCCTTACCGTGGTTACCATGGGCATGTCCTGTTCCTGATAACACTGCTGTAAGACAGATTAACCCTAAGTTTTGTTCCATTACAAAGCCTCAAAACTATCCCTATTAAAACAACTTGCCATAAAACCCTCAAACAGGACTAAACATCGCACAGTGAATCCCCCCACTTTCCTCCCAATCTCTGGCACATGACGAAGTAACTGGCTTTCTATGATGGCGCTCAGGACTCTCACCCGGAACTTCTGATTGATGGGGTAGATGACTTTGGCCTTCAGGGCGAATGCTGTGATATTGCTGTTGGAAGGCGGCTCACATTCCTGGGAGAGAAAGACACAAATGGTGTGGGAAACTTTCTGTAAAATGAAGGGTAAGTTGTCAAGTTTTTCCAAAATGCCACATCCCATTTGTAATAGCAGCCTCAGAAAGGGACGATGATAGGTATATTTAGATTCATGTTAGCTCTTCCTTGCCAGAAGGAAAATGAATGGATGGGTGGACAAACAGATGGATGGATAGATGGATAGATGCATGAATGAATGGGTGGGTGGGCAGATGGATAGATGGGTGGATGGATGGATAGGTAGACAGAAGAATAGATGGGTGGTTGGATGGAAGGATGGACAGACAGACGGATCGGTGAATGAAAAGGTAGAGAGATAGATGGGTGGATAAAAAAATAGATGGGTATATGGACAGACGGACGAACAGACAAATGCTATCAAAAGAGAATGGCACAATGTTCATTTAATTACAATTCTTCAGCTTTGGAAGAAATAAAGATTTGAATAACTTGAGAATAATTAACAAGAGAGTCTCCTAAGGAATTAGAAAAAGCAAACATACAAAATAATTTTAGCATTGCCAGGGGTATAAGCACATGCAGTCATATTCACACAAGAGTTGGGATTAGACCCTTAAACAAAAGGAAGTGGTTGGGCAAGTCTTCTAACTTCTCTGAACCTCAGTCTTGCCAGATAGTAAACCAGCAGAGTATTTGCCCTCAAGAACCACATACACGAAGCACCCTGCTAAGTCACTAGAATAGAGAAGCAACTCATCAGTGGGCCACTGTGCATAGTAGCACAAAAACCACTGTCAAATCCTGCTCAGCAATCACCTCTCCTGACTCATTAATAAGAAGCTGGATGGACTTATCCATGGCCTGCCCTATATCCCCACATCCTCTGCATCTCTCTCCTGTTGGGTCATCCCCACCCCAGCCCTGCACTTTGTAAAGTCAGTGCTGAATCAATGCTTTGGAAACAACCAGATAGTGAATGAAGATAAGCAGACAGGCAAGCCTGGAGCCTGGCACTGCAGACCATGAGAAATCTCTACTGGGCAATTCTGAACACACCAATGGAAGAAAACTACATCTACGTCAATTCCAGTGCTTCTCAACCACATCTTGAAGAGTGAGCTCCATCACCAATGACCGATTTTCAATCACAAAGTTCACCTTGGAATAAGACACCCTATTGTGGGAAACACAGAAGGATTGATCACTTGCTCCTAATTTGGGGTGTTGACACAGCCTCCACTGAGCCAGAACTGTGACCTAGATAGGTCTCCAGGAAGAGCTGCATCGTGACGCCCTGTGAGCAACACGAGAGGGACACTCCACACCAGGGGCTCCTGTTCTTGTCATTTCTCTGTACCTTACAACTCACAAAAAGACTTGGGTGACAAGAATGGGGGAAGACCCTTCATTATACCTTATACAAAATTAATTCAAGATGGATTAAAGACTTAAATGTAAAACCCAAAACTATAAAAACCCTACAAGAAAATCTAGGCAATACCATTCAGGACACAGGCACAGGCAAAGATTTCATGACAAAAGCACCAAAAGCAATCGCAACAAAAGCAAAAACTGACAAATGCGATCGAATTAAAGAGCTTCTGCACAGCAAAAGAAACTATCATCAGAGTGAAAGATAATCTACAGAAGTGGAAAACATTTTTGCAATCTATCCATCTGACAAGGGTCTAATATCCAGAGTCTATAAGGAACTTAAACAAATTTACAAGAGTAAAACAACCCCATTAAAAAGTGGGCAAAGAACATGAACAGACACTTCTCAAAAGAAAACATTCATGCGGCTGACAAACATATGAAGAAAAGCTCAACATGGCTGATCATTAGAGAAATATAAATCAAAACCACAATGAGATACCATCTCATGCCAGTCAGAATGGCGATTATTAAAAAGTCAAGAAACAACAGATGCTGGTGAGGCTGCGGAAAAAAGGAAAACTTTTACACTGTTGGTGGGAGTGTAAATTAGTTCAACCATTGTGGAAGACAGAATGGTGATTCCTCAAAGACCCAGAAGCAGAAATGCCATTTGTCCCAGCAATCCCATTACTGGGTATCTATCCAAAGGAATAGAAATCATTCTATTACAAAGATACATGCACGCGTATGTTTATTGCAGCACTATTCACAATAGCAAAGACATGGAATCAGCCCAAAAGTCCATCCATGATAGACTGGGTAAAGAAAATGTGGTACATATACACTATGGAATACTATGCAGTCATAAAAAGGAACAAGATCATGTCCTTTGCAGGGGCATAGATGGAGCTGGAAGCCATTATCCTCAGCAAACTAACACAGGAACAGAAAATCAAACACCGCATGTTCTCACTTATAAGTAGAAGCTGGACAGTGAGAACACATAGACACACTAGGTCAGGGGAACAACACACACTGGGGCCTGTGAGGGGGTGAGGAGAGGGAGAGCATCAGGAAGAATAGCTAATGGATACTGGGCTTAACACCTAGGTGATGGGATGATCTGTGCAGCAAACCACTATGGCACATGTACCATAGGTTTACCTATGTAACAAACATGCACATCCTGCACATGTACCCCAGAACTTAAAATAAAAGTTGAAGAAAAGGTTTTAAGAAGTAAAAAAAAAAAAAAACTAACAGGGAAGACCACCAACATACGCTACCTCCCTAAGCTTCCAAGGACCCTGCCACAGAGGTCACTGTCTCCACTTCCAGACAGAGAAAATGAGTCACAGAGAGGTGAAGCCACATGCCCAAGGCCACACAGCTAATCATCGCTAGAACCGGGATCTGAACTCAGCTTTGCAGCCCCAGGTCCGCCCTCTTTAGCCGATGCCAAGCTGGCTCTGTCAACATGATGCGAATAACAGCAAGAGTAAGTGCCATGAAGTTTAAAAGGAAGTGGGGGTTCATAGAGAAGGTCCCTGGGCTTGGCTTCACCGTGTTCAGGAACCTACATCAGATACTGAGGCACCGCACACTCCCATATCCCAAGTCCCCACATCCAACCAACCACCAATCAATCCCATCAACTTAACCTCCTAAATCTCTCTGTAATCCATGGCCCTGGCCTATGCCTCCAGCATATTTACCCTGAAGGGCTGCAATCACTACCTAACCAGCTCCTCATCCATGTATTGAGGGTCTACCATGTCCAGCCACCTTATGCATGTTTGCCCATTTAATTACACACATGAGTCAGCTTGGGAAGGTGGGGACTATTATTATCACGCCCACCTTATGGTGCTGCGAACTGAGGATCAGAGGTTAACACCTTCCAATTCATTCTTCACGTGGGAATCAAATGTTTTTTTTTTTTTTTTTTTGAGACTCCATCGCCCAGGCTGCAGTGCAGTGGCACAATCTGGGATCACTGCAACCTCCGCCTCCTGGGTTCACGCCATTCTCCTGCCTCAGCCTCCCAAGTAGCCGGGACTACAGGCGCCCGCCACCACGCCTGGCTAACTTTTTGTATTTTAGTAGAGACAGAGTTTCACCATGTTGGCCAGGATGGTTTCAATCTCCTGACCTCGTGATCTGCCGGCCTCGGCCTCCCAAAGTGCTGGGATTACAGGCGTGAGCCACCGCGCCCGGCCCGAATGGTCTTTTTAAGCATGAATTTCCATCGATGCACCTCTTAAAACCCTTCCTGGCCTCCCTCTGACCTGAGGGTACAGAGCCTGGCCTGCTCTCAATGCCCTGCATTCTGGCCCACTTTCTGCTTGAAGTTTTGTCAGTGAACAAGGAATGGCAGGAAGATGGAAAAGGCTGAACTCAGGACTAATTTGCAGGGTCCACTGCAAAACGAAAATTAGGATTCTTATGTAATAATGATTAAGAATTTCAAGACAGTGACAGCAGAGTCCACCAGCCAAGAGGGGGCGTATCTGAGCGTGGTCCCTGTGACCTCACAGGTCACACCCAGGACAGCAGCCCTGGCTGACTATCCAGGGGAGACACATTTGCTCAAGGGAAAGATTCAAAAGCAATGCATTTTTAAACTTCCTACAAACAGGGGAGAAAAGAAAGGACAAAGAAAAGAGTGACCATGAGAGAAAAGCAAAATCCCTGCTTCCCAGGAGTTTACCTTCAAGAGGGGAATACAAAACAAAAACCTAATTATGAAAAGGAAAGGGCCGGGCGCAGTGGCTCGCACCTGTAATCCCAGCACTTTGGGAGGCCAAGGTGGGCAGATGATGAGATCAGGAGTTCAAGACCAGCCTGACCAACATGGTGAAACCCTGTCTCTACTAAAAACACAAAAATTAGCTGGGTGTGGTGGCGCACACCTGTAATCCCAGGTACTCAGGAGGCTGAGGCAGGAGAATCGCTTGAATCCGGGAGGCGGAGGTTGCAGGGAGCTGAGATCGCATCACTGTACTCCAGCCTGGGCAACAGAGTGAGATTTCGTCTCAAAAAAAAAAAAGAATGAAAGGATGTTGGTGCAGGGCCCACCTGAGACCTGTGGGCGCAGCACCTGGGGATGGAGGAGTCGGGAAATGGGCATCAGACACACACCCTGGCTGGCAGGAAGGCTCCGCCTGATCTGTCTACCTGCAGACTGCAACCCGTGCAGGGCCAGCCCAAGGATGGTCATGGTCTTTGCCAGGGGATGAAGGATGCAGGAGCATGTGATACCCGAAATCAGGGAAGGAGCAGGCTCTGCTACCTGAACAGGAGCCACTGCCTTTAGTTTTTAAAAGCTCTCCTCATTAAGGTCAGGTGTCCTCCAAATTCCAAGAGTCTCCCCAGCAAAGCAATGCAATTATTTAGAAAATTGGTTGCAGCAAAATCTACAAGGTAAAACTTCCTCAGCTAGAGCAATGCAATTATTCAGCAAATTGGTTAAAGTATAATTGCAGGAAAGGAAAAGCCATTCCCGTAACCAATATAAAGGAGTTCTTTTCAGAGAATGCGTAAATGCATCCTTAAAGGCTCTACCCACTCTCCCTCCCTCCACAGCAAAGGAATGGGATGGAGAGACGGAGGCTGTGGAATAGCATGCCTCAGAGCCTTCTGGAATTTTCTGTTTGTTTTCAGCTGAGATGAGTTGTTCATTAAACAGAGGTCATCCAAGGCGTGGCAGGAACTACAAGGCCCTGGTTTTCTGTGCACTGGAGGACAAGAAAGTTATAGCTCAACCCACTGGGCCAAAGCAGCCCTGACCGCATATTTTGACAAGCTCAGTCTGCAGAAAGCAAGAGCATTCTGACAAGCCGGTCACTGGAACAAGCAGATCTTTCACTTAACCCTTGGTAATTATTAGCTTGATAATAGGCATCTGCTAGGTGTAGCTGAATAGTGAACAAGTAAGACATTACTAGGCAGAAAAAAATAACCTTACAGCAGGGTAGAAAGACTTAGGCACCCCTGCAAACACTGATTGAGCACCCATTCTGTGGCAGGAACGTTCACACACATTAACTCAGCCCTGGGTGACTCGGGGATGGCAGGGGGAGCACCATCACTGCTGTCATTTTAAATGAGAAACCTGAGGCTCAGACAGGTTATGCTTCCTGCCCAACATCACACAGCAAACATGTGGCAGAGCTGGGACTGGGTTCCAGGATTGTAGGTCCTAAAGCCAGCACTGTTTTCATCACATTCAAGGACACCCTATGTGTGAGCTGCGTTGTTTGTTTAACAGCTTTGAGATTTAATTCACACACCCTGCAGTTCATTCATGTAAAGCATAATATTTCATAGTTTTCAGTATCTTCAAATATGTGCAGCCATCACTATAGTCAACTTTATTTATTTATTTATTTATTTATTTATTTATTTTGAGACAGAGTCTCGCTCTGTCACTTAAGCTGGAGTGCAGTGGTACAATCTTGGCTCACAGCAACCTCTGCCTCCTGGGTTCAAGCAATTCTCCTGACTCAGCCTCCCAAGTAGCTAGGACTACAGGCACACACGACCATGCCCAGCTGATTTTTGTATTTTTAGTAGAGATGGGGTTTCACCATGTTGGCCAGGCTGGTCTCGAACTCCTGACCTTAAGTGTCTGCCCGTCTCAGCCTCCCAAAGTGCTGGGATTACAGGCGTGAGCCACCATGCCCAGCCTATAGTCAACCTAAAACATTCTCATGGCATCAAATAGAAACCTGGTCCTCTTTTGCTGTCACCCCATCCCTCCCCTTCCTCTGCCCCAGCCCCCGGAAACCACTAATCTACTTTTGTCTGTATAAATCTTCCTGTTCTAGACATTTCACAGGAATGGAATCCTATAACATGTGGTCTTTTGTGAGTGGCGTCTTTCATTTAGCATGTTTTCCAGGTTCATCCAGGTTGTAGCATGGATCAGCCCCTCATTTTATTTTATGGCCAAATAACCTTCCAATGTCTGCATATATCACATTTTATTTTTCCAGTTTTTCCATTCGGGTTGTTTCCACATTTTGGCTATTGTGAATAGTGTTGCTTTGAACATCTGTGTACAAGTTTTTGGGTGGACATCTGTTTTCACATCTATCAGCACATTCTAGTAGTGTGAGAGGGTGGGATGGGGCAGAGCAGTAGAGAGAGAGATGAGCGGAAGAGAGACACAGCGACAGGGAGATGCCGTGTACCTGCAGCTCACACACTGCCATAAAGACACACACAGAAAGACCCACAGACACACATGAGAGAGTGATGGACTGGGACATACACAGACACACATGGAGAGGCAAGCACACAGTGTCAGAGACAGCACAGGGCACATCCAAATAGGGGCTCAATCAGTGTTTGTAGGGAGGCCTAAGTCTTTCTACCCCACTGTAAAGTTAACTCATATTTTCCTGCCTAGTAATGTCTTACCTGTTCACTATTCGGCTACACCTAGCAGATACCCATTATCAAGCTAACAATTACCAAGGGTAAAGTTAAAGATCTGCTTGTTCCAGACTCATCTCCTGCAAGCCATGTCCCGGGATAGCAGCAGAGGCTTGCCCATCTCTCCCCGGCTCCACGCTGGCCAAGAGCAGGGCAGTGCCCCCCTCCACAGGATCCCGCCAGCCAGGGAGGGAGATGCAGGGCTGATGCAAAAGCTGATTGTTCAGAGTAACTAGAAGCTGAGCCCTACTGACTTTGGACCTTTGGGGAAATCCGTTTTTAAATCCCCAGCCCACTTTCTTCTGTGGTAAGCTGAGGCTGCGGAACAGGATGGAACAGGTTGGAAAGGGGCAGAGGCTAGGAGTCAGGTGTGCAGACGTAGCACTCCCGAGCAGGGGCCCGGCAAACCCAAGGACAAATATCAGCTTGGCTACTCTCCAGCTGCGGGACTCAGGAGAGTAGCCTACCTCTGAGGCTCGGCTTCCTTATCTGGAAAACGGGAATATAACTCAGATCAGCCTCACGTGGCTGCTGAGAGAAGGGCAGGAGATCACTCACGTGAGTGTTGGCATCACTCACAGGTGAGAGGTGTAAAACTGCCTGGCATGAGTAGATGCTAAAAAATAATACTAGTTCATTCCCCTTATCCCAGAAGACGAAGCCTGCAGTACTTTCTAGGGGACAAGGAGGTGACAAGAAATGTCACATCCTCTCCACCCACGGGGCTCACCCAGAAAGCGATGTTCTGTGGATAGAGTAAGGGTTCCAGGAAGGCAGGAACAAAGAGAATTTTTTTAACATCTCTTCCAGAGGCCCAGCACTCCCACTCCTAGAGATTTAATTAAAGGAAGTAAAATGAAATGAAAATAAGCAAACGTATGCACCAACATTCATAGTAGGCTTATTCATCACAGCCAAATTCTAAAACCGGCCCAGTCCACCAATGACACACCCACCAAATGGAAAGCAATCAACAAAGCGTGGCACATGCACACAGTTGACTGCCACTGAGCAATAAAAATGGGGGAAGAATTGATATACACAATGAAAGGGAAACATCTCAAGGCATTCTGTGGAGGAAACACAGGCACGAAACAGCACAGTTCCATTTGCATAAGGTTCTAGAACCACAGAACCAACCAACGGAAATCCCACGCATGGGTGCCTCTGGAAGTGTGTGGGGGTGGGGAGTGACCAGAAAGGGGCACTAGAGGACTTGCTGGGTGATGAAAACATTCTCAGCGGGGATATTGGTTCTAAGGGGTGTGCAATTCTCAAAACTCATCAAACTGTAAAACCTAAAGTCTGCACATTTGATTGTATGTAAATTATGCCTAAAAAAAGCAGCCCATTGGGAAACTATATCTGTCAGAGGCTTGTCTACGTGACACCTGGCTGCCAGGGGGACACCCCACCTCCCACATGTGCCTCCACAAACAAACACCAACACCGAGCTTACATCAACAGCTTCCTTGTCCTTTGACATCTGCACTTCTCTCTTCCTCCTCCTTGATGGGGAAACAGTTTCCAAGGGGGTCTGCGCATTAGACTCCAAATTCTTGAGCAGATTTTGAGTGTCGTCTTTCTAAAACCCAAAGGTCAGGAGTTGGGGGTAGATAGAAACACAACACTGAGGTCAGTTGGCCTAGTCCCCACCAAGACTTTTGCCAGTTAACTCCCCCAGTCCAGCAGCCACTTCTGCTCGCCTCTGTGCTTCTCAAGCTTGGTCCTCTGTGTGTAATGCCTCCCACCCTATGTGGGGTCTGCTACACATCCTTCAAGACTGCACAGGTCACCTTCCTGAGAAGTCCCCCTAAGGCCTCCAGGATGCCCCCATTTCAGTGCACCTTCAGGACTTGAGCTAAGATGCAGAGCAAAGCTTGTTCCATTTTTCTTCTAGGTTGGGACCCCCAGTGGACTGGGAGCTCCTTGGATTTAACAACAAAGCACGGGAAATGGCACATGCATATTAATGTTCCTGTTGATTTTGATCACTTCATTGAATGGTTTTTAAGAAAATATGTTAGGTGACCTGAAGTTATAGAGTAGTTTCTATTCTGAACTACAATGAGTGCTCATTATTTATGGATTCTGTATTTGCCAATTCCTGTACTTGCTAAAATTTATTTATAACCCCCAAACCAATGCTCATGGTGCTTTTACAGTTATTCACGGATACACACAGAGGATGAACAATCTGAGTTGCCCGGCATGCATGTGCTCAGTTGAGATGGAACAAGGTAGCACTCTGCCTTCTTGTCTCTGCTCTCATGCTGTAAACATCCTTTTCATACTCTAGTAGCACAGTTTTTGCATTTCTGTGCTTTTTCTTGGTGACTTTACCGTTTAAAATAATCACCAAACACAGTGCAGAAGTGCTATCTAGTCTCCCAAAACACAAGAAAGCTATGGCATGCCCTCTGGAGAAATGGGTGTGTTACAGAAGATTCATTCAGGTATGAGTTACAGTGCTGATGTCTGTGAGTCCAATGTTAATAAATTAAAAATATCTATCAAATAAGATATCTTTAAACTGAAACATACATAGAACTATGCTACATATTGACTGGTTAATGGAAATGTTGTGACCAGAAGCTTGTAGGAACCTAACCCTGTTTCTCCCCTAGGAACAATGGTTCAGTGTTCACTAACGCTGTGTTCTCAGTGAGTTTACAGAACATAACTACCACAAATAAGGAGAATAGACGATATTTAAAATTCTGTTATCCTGGATACTTCTCAACTTCCTCTTTAATCACTAGCTGCTCATGAATATAATCTTTGAAGTAAAGAAATATCACCAGTTTGTCACTGAGTTAATCAGCTACTATTACTGAGCATCTGCTTTGTGTCAAGCCTTGTTCTAGGTACTGGGAATAGAGTAATGAACAAAATACACAGCCTTGGCTTTTGTGGCATTGACATTGCAGTGAGAGAAGAAAGATGCAAACAAATAAATGAAAAAATACATAGTAATTCAGGGACAATCGTGTTCTAGAGTAATAGTGGAGGGTGGGGGAATGAAGGATGATGGCAGACAGTCTCTTGGACAAAGTGGCATTTGAGAAGGAACTTAAAAGAAGTGAGGTCATCAGTCATTGAGATATCTCAGGGAGGAGTATTCTAGAAAGAGAGAACAGCAAGTGCAAAGGCCTTGAGGCAGGCCCATGTTGGGCATAGAGAGAAACCTGTGTAGATGCAGCAGTCTGGGGTGAGTCTTGGGGTAGATGATGAGGCCAGAGATTTGGGGGGTTGTTTACCAAGCATGGTTGGCCTGTACAAATGTCCTGCAAAGAAGAACCCAGTCAGATAGTCCTACAGTAAAGACATTGACGAAAAAAAATACCTATCCCACAGAAGGAGCACCAGCATCACTTGAAAATGTCCAGAGGGTCACCAGCCATTTGAGGACAGACTCTAATACGAAAGATAAAATCCAAAACAAACAAAAGGAAAAAGCAAGCAGGGAACACACTACGCAAGGCAGAGAAAAAAAAAACACCTTAAATAAACAACTAAAATATTATCAGAGAAATCAGAGAAGGTATTCCATTCATGAAATAAGAACAGGATAGAACATTCTCAGAACAAAGAAAGGACTCTTGAAAATTGAAAATATGAAAAACTCAATACAAGTACAAAGTTAAGAAACGTCTTTCTGACGGTAATGTAAAAAAGACAAAGAGGGCTGGGCGCGGTGGCTCAAGCCTGTAATCCCAGCACTCTGGGAGGCCGAGACGGGTGGATCAGGAGGTCAGGAGATTGAGACCATCCTGGCTAACACGGTGAAACCCCGTCTCTACTAAAAAATACAAAAAAACTAGCCGGGCGAGGTGGCGGGCGCCTGTAGTCCCAGCTACTCGGGAGGCTGAGGCAGGAGAATGGCGTAAACCTGGGAAGCAGAGCTTGCAGTGAGCTGAGATCTGGCCACTGCACTCCAGCTTGGGTGACAGAGCGAGACTCCGTCTCAAAAACAAACAAAAAAAAGACAGAGATGGGAAGTGAGAGAGAAAGACTAAGATTGGAAGCCCAATTCAACCTAAAAAAATGATAGGAGTTCTTGGAAGAAGAGAACATACAAAAGGAAAAGAATCATCAAAGATATCAAGAAAATGATTCTGTATCAAAAGGACGTTCCAAATGCCTGGCACCGTGGATGACAAGTGACTTTCACCAAGACCATCCTGGTGCAATTTTATTTATTAGGAGCAAAGGTAAAGGTTCTTTAAGATTCTACAGAGGAACAAAAGGAAAAGAGGTTTCATATAAAGTATCAAGGATCAGAATAGAATCAGTTTTCTCAACAGCAACCATGGAAATTATGAGATGAAGCAGAGTCCCCACCTTTTATGGGCCTGCAAATCCCCTGCCCTTAGCCTGGAAATAAAGGAAAATCCTGACTTTCTTCAAGGGAAATTATCAGCAACTTGATAAGCAAGAAGGTAATAGTAACTTAAAACAATAGCCAGGAAGTTAGAGTCAGGAGATGTTTGGTTTCCCTACAGAAATTAAAGATAACACTTAACATATGTCCTGAGTTGTTTTTCAGAAACCTGGACCCCCATCAAATGGATCCACTCAGAGGCTGAGGTCCTCCGCTGCCCCTTATCTGAGATCTGAACTCTGAGCACCATTCTTTGTTTGAAAGTTCTTCCTGGGGGGCCCGGAGGAAGTCATGCCCAGGAGCCTGAGCTAATGTTCTTTTCTGCTGAACCCACATTTTAAAACAAAGCTTCTCTTCCTTGACAAAATGCATATGAGAAAATCTTTGAATCTACCTCTGACCTACAAGCCTTCACTTCAAGATGTCCCGCCCTTTTAGGCCAAAACCAATTGTAACCTTCATGTACTGATTTACAATTTTGCCTATAACTTCTGCTTTCCTGAAATCTACCTATACCTTTAAAAACCCTCACGTGCAAGTCATTGGGGAGGTCAGGATTTGAGCATGAGCTGCCTAGTCCTCCTGGCTTGGTGCCCTGTGAATAAACACCTTCCTTTTTACCACTGCAAAACCTCAGTGTAGCTATCTGGTCTTACTGTGCGAGGTGAGTGGGACCCAGTTTGGTTCCACAACAGTTCTAAGACAATGGAGGCCGGATGCAGTGGCTCATCCCTGAAATCGCAGCACTTTGGGAGGCCGAGGTGGGAGGATCACGAGGTCAGGAGTTCAAGACCAGCCTGGCCAACATGGCGAAACCCCGTCTCTACTGAAAATACAAGAATTAGCTGGGCATGGTGACGCACGCCTGTTGTCCCAGGTACTTGGGAGGCTGAGGCAGAAGAATCACTTGAACCCAGGAAGTGGAGGTTGCAGTGAGCCAAGATCGCACCACTGCACTCCAGCCTCAGTGACACAGTGAGACTCCATCTCAAAAAAAAAAAAAAAAAGACAATGGAAAAATGCCTTCGAAATTCTGGAGGAAAATTATTTCCAATCTAATTATTCTTACCAAATTAAGTATAAAGATAGAAGAATATATTTTCAGACACAGAAGTTCTCAAAAGAGTTGCATCCATCCCTTTTTGAAAAAGCTACTGAAGGATGTGCTCCCGGCATGCAAGGAAATTAGCTAATGAAAGGGGAGTGCAGGGGAATCCCTGAAACAGGATTCAACCCAGGAGAGACATGAGAAAGTCCCAGCATGATGAGTAGCTGCTTCTCAAACTTTAAGAACATGTAAATCACCAGGAGGGCTTATTAAACGCAGCTTGCTGGACCCAGAGATTCTCATTCAGTGAGTCTGGGGTAGAGCCCAAGAATTTGCATTTCTATCAAGCTCCCCAAGATATTGATGCTGCTGGTCTGGTCCACACTTTAGAGAGCTGTCTAGAGAATAACCAGCTCAAACTAGAGCTTGTCAGAATGTTTCTCGGAGACATGTTTTTCTCAAGAAGATAAAATGGATCAAATATCTAATGTATTCAATTGTCTTGAACAGAAAGGCACATATATGGGGGACAGTTAAATGAATGATAAGTACACAGAATCTAAACAAATGAAAAAACCGAGGCCAGATGTGGTGGCTCATCCGTGATGAGCCTGTGATCCTGGCACTTTGAGAGGCAAAAGCAGGAGGACTGCTTGAGCCCAGGAGTTTTGAGACCAGCCTGGGCAACATGGCAAAACCCCAACTCTACGAAAAACAGGAAAAAAAAAATTAGCCAGGTATAGTGGTGCAAGCCTATAGTACCAGCTACTTGGGAGGCTGAGGTGAGAGGATCACCTGAACCCAAGAGGTCAAGGCTACTGTGAACCGTGATCATGCTACTGCACTCTAGCCCGGGCAATAAAGTGAGACACTATCTCAAACAAAACAAAAAACAAAAAAAGAGAATAACTATTAATTTCAGGAAAAACAAAATGTTGTGCAAGAAAAGAAGGTATTCATAACCATAACTGATCCTTAACTTACAGTAAATGATGTTTGCAGAATTGTAATAATGGAAACACTGAATACTAATTTAACCAAATTCCCCTATAATCTCCCTACCGGGAGGGTGGTAGTGGTGTTGGGAAGAGTGAACATCTTATGGAGGAGGGGAGGCAACAGAGCTAAGTCCTCTTCCTTTCCACATTGGAGGGTCAACGGCTATTACACACAGAAAAAAAAAAAAAGCAAGCAGCAGCAATATAGGCACGTTATTCAGAAATGGGAAGTAAATTCTCAAAATAATCAGCTGAAGGAGTTAACAAGGCCACTGTGGAGAAGTAGAAAATGGGTGGGGCTACTGCTCCTTTTGAACTAATACTTTAAATTATGTGCATGAACAACTTCGATGTAAATAAAACAGGTTTAATGATGAAATAAGTTAAAATAACAAAATAAAACAAAAACAGCAAAAGGAAAGCAGTGCAAGATAACACTGTGACTTGGAACAGAGGAGGAGAACAACGAATGCCCAGAAAGCAGGGAAGTACCTGATCTAGCATGGAAGGTCATGAAGACTTCCCTGGTTAATAAGGCGATCTCTCTGGGTCCTGAGGGCTGAGCAGGGTGGAGTCTGAGAAAGGCCAGTGCAGGTGGAGAGAACAGATATACAGAAGTGCAGAGGTGACAGGGAACAGTGAGATGTCTTGAGTGGCTGGAGAGCAGGATGAGGCAAGTGGCTGGGCACCTGTGCGTTAGGATGGGTACTCTGGAGAAGGTAAGCCACTGTATGCACCATGCTAGAAAACTGGGTATTGTTTTATTTATTTATTTATTTATTTATTTATTTATTTATTTATTTATTTTTTAGATGGAGTTTCATTCTTGTTGCCCAGGCTGGAGTGCAATGGCATGATCTCGGCTCACTGCAACTTCCACCTCCCGGGTTCAAGTGATTCTCTTGCCTTAGCCTCCCCAGTAGCTGGGATTATAGGCATGCACCACCATGCCTGGCTAATTTTGTATTTTTAGTAGAGACAGGGTTTCTCTATGTTGGTCAGACTGGTCTCTAATTTTTCTTTTTTCTTTTTTTTTGAGACAGAGCCTTGCTGTATCGCCCAGGCTGGAGTGCAATGGCACCATCTCGGCTCACTGTAACCTCTGCCTCCCAGGTTCCAGTGACTCTCCTGCCTGAGCCTCCTGAGTAGCTGGGATTACAGGCTCCTGCCACCACGCCAGCTAATTTTTGTATTTTTAGTAGAGGCAGGGTTTCACCATGTTGGCCAGGCTGGTCTCAAACTCCTGACCTCAGTTGATCAGCCTGCCTTGGCCTCCCAAAGGGCTGGGATTACAGGCATGAGCCACAGCGCCTGGATGGGCATTATCTTTTGCAGGCAGCCAGGAGTCACTGGAGGTGTTTAACCAGGAGGGTCATAATGTCTGACGTACATTTTATAAATAAAAACTAGACGGAGGAGACAGGAGGAAAAGAATCTCATTAGAAAGAAGGTTGTTGCAAGAATCACATCAAACTGTAAGAAAATCCTATTAGTCCTACTTTGAGCCACAGACCTCTCAATGGCTGCCACCCTGGTCTGAGCCACCATCACCCTCAACTGACTAGCTGTGCAAACCCAGATGGCTTGGTTAATCCCGGTAAGCCTCAGCTGATTCAGCTAGGAAATGGGATACTAACCACCACCTGACTAGGTAGCAGATGCTTAAGGCTCTGGGTTTGGGGTTCAAACCAACTAGGGTTGAAATTCAGCCCCACTGTTTACTCATCGTGGCACCCTGGTCAAATAACTTTACAGAGCATCCACTGCCTCACTGTAAAGTGGGGATAATGGCAGTTCCTCCACCTCATGGGGTGAAGGATAAAGAACCAGATGTCTACAAACACTGCATAGGGCACCCAGCAAAGTCTCTGTCTGTGGCTTCCCTTTCCGTCTCCGTGCAACAAGCCAGCATCTCTTAGTGTCTCTTAATCACCAGCAGGATCTGACAACCCCCAACTCACCTACAAGCATCTTGCATTATCTTAGTTTCAGCCCTGATCAGCCCTTTGCAATGTAACGCGTCCCATGAGTCACCACATTCTGATGCCTACATGGAACCCACACAGGATCTGTCTCCTCTTCCCACGGGCCAGAAATGGGGGCAGCAAGACCATGCCATCTTGTTTCTGATCTCACAGACTTTACCCTCCCCCCCCCCCCGCCCCAAAGAGGCAGAAGCTGCAAGGATCTAAAATAGTGGCCATACCACTACTGATGGAATGCCTGCCATACGCCAGGCGTTGCCATGCACAGCCAATTCCATGAGGGCCACTTGCATATGAAGCATCCACTGGTCTCCTTCAAGCAGCCACCCCGTCCCTCATCCATGCAGAGAACACAGTGGCTTTGGGGTTAGACACGTCTGTCACTTTAGCAAGTTACTTAACTCCTCTGTGCCTCAGTTTCCTCATCTGCAAAGCAGAGACATTCATGAAATCAACTCAAACTGTTGTGGAGATTCATCGAGATCATTTAGGCAGAGGGTCTAGTTCAGTGCCTGGTAAACAGTCAGCACTCAATAAATACTAGCATTGCCAGTGCTCCATCGCAGACTCCCCATGCGGTGTCATAACTGATAGTTCACTTGTAAACTTGCAACTCGTCGTTCTCCTTGAGGCTGTGAACCTCAAGCAGGCAAGGCAGGGTCTCTCCTGCTCACGAATGTGGTGCCTAGGCCAGTGACTGGCTGTAGAAGGTGCCCGAAAACTTTTACTGTGAAAAAACTTTTACTGATGAATGAAAAAATGAATGCCAATGTGGCGGCTGGAACTCAGGCCAGACGACGTAACCCACACCAGAAGGACGGAAAAGGCAGAAGCAGGAATAGGCATTCAGGCGTGGGAGTCCCAGCAGCCCTTCTGTCCACCACGGTGAGCGGGGTCAGCATCCTGTCCAAACCCTTGATGCTGCAGATAAAGAGACCGAGGCGTGGCGCGGATGGGCTGCTGTCTAGGATCACCCAAAGGAGCGGGATGTAACAGGCACCGCAGGGGACCTCAGGTCAATGCCCTCTAGTCACCCCGCCACCTTCCTCCTGTAGCAGGAGAACCCGACGCCTGAGCAGTTGCGCGCGAAGTCCCCAACCAGGCTCAAGGAGTCACAGAGCCAGGTCTCCAGGTCCGCACCACAGAGAAGCTACGCGCCCCGCGCCCCGCCCCACCGCTGTCTGCTCGGCCGACCCACCTGGTGTCGCGGGCTCCAGCGGCCCGCGCGGCAGCCGAGCCAGAGGCCGAGGCCGAGGCCGAGCGCGGCGCCCAGCAGCACGGCGGGGGCCAGCAGCGCGGGTGCCGGCCGCAGCGCGTCCCGGCCCAGCAACAGCCGCGCGTCGCTCTTGCAGGCCGCCCCGCCGCCGGCCATCTGGGGGGCTCAGGCGGCCGCCCCGCCGCATCCCGTTGCTTGCTGCACCGTCCCCGCCAGGGCGGCGACGCGAGACTCGGAGCCCGGGCGGGCCAGGGGCGCGGCGCGCCCCGCAGACTTTCCGGCCTGTGCAGTCTCCCGACTCCTACTCCTCTTCCCTTCCCTGCTTCGCCGAGCCGGAGGGAGGAGCCTGGATCACCGCTCAAAACTTTCAGCCACCCCCGCCTCAGCCCTGCCCCTGCACTGAGCATGCCCAGCAAGAGGCGCGCCTCCCAGCCCCGGACCCTTCCGGAGGGGGCACGGTTTCCACCGGGATTCCTGGGTTCCTGGGGAGAAAGAGAGACCTTTATCACCGAGGAAGTCTCCTTTAACTGTATTGAGGCTTAGAATATGCTAAGCATTTAGCTTAATGATCTCATTAACTTTCTCCATAACCCTCTGCGGTGGGTGCTCCGCCCATCCTCCTGATGAAAACGCTGGGACCAATGCAAGTCCAACCCCTTGCCCTTGCCCCTAACCTCTACCCATCAACCTTCCCGGAGCCACACCGCCCTCCATGCCTCTGAACTTGCTCACGCGAAGTCTCCCGTTTTAATCTTATTTTCTCCCAGGGAAGGTCAAGACAATAGGTGGAGAGACCGTTACCCTCAGTCTCCCCTAGGAGGATGGGTAGAGGGACCCTTACACCCAGTCCCCACTGAGACGCTGTGTAGAGAGACCCTTACACCCGGTCCCCACTAGGTCTAGGACACTGCACCATCATTCATTTACTCAGCACTTGGGGAGAATCTGTTTGTGTGTTGCAGGCTGGGGGATAGGTCAGCCACAAACCAGGCAGTGTCCAGGGTAGTGAGTATCTCATAGTTGTGTAGAGGGGTAAACAATTAGACCAGTTCATCACTCTGTGTTTGCTTTAAACAAACATTTATGGGGTAGCTACTAGATGTTTGCTTTTGTCCTGGGTGCCTGGGTAAAGTACACATGCATGTGCATGACTGCACACTTGCACGCAAGGGCACACGCAGACACACACACACTCCTACCCTGTGGAGCTTAATTACCTGTGTGGGCCAGGCAAGGGAACACCATGTGGATCTGTTTCAGCAGAGGAAGGCTTTGCCCTTTCAGCCTGGATGTCCAGCTTGTTTCTAATTTGTTTCATCATTTCCTCGTGGCAAGATGAGAACTGTTACCCAAATTCTTCATCCTTTTTATAAACGAAGAAACTGACAGCTAGAGAGGAGAGGTGACTCATTTAAGGTCTTGCAATTAAGGAGTGGGACAGAATTATTGTCCCATTTACACCTGTGTCTGTCTGGCTTCAGGACAAACTCTCCGCTATGGGGAGCTTCTTATATATTTCCTTAGAAGCATTTCCAAGTTCCTGGGGACGCATATGAGGGCAGTAACTTGATGCTGTTGTTTTACGCTGGGTATTTCCATGAATGCTTAGGCTTTAGTTTTTAAAATGTGGTGTTTGGGCCAGGTGTGGTTGCTCACACCTGTAATCCCAGCACTTTGGGCGGCTGAAGTGGAGGACTGTCTGAGCCCAGGAGTTTAAGACCAGTCTTGGCAACACGGTGAGACCCTGACTGTATAAAAAATAGTAATAAGAAGATGTTTTAAATGTAGGGTTATTTGCATTTTACTTTATGATAAAGTTGACTATTAAATTAACCTTTAAATTACCAACTGTCAAATAATACCAATGGTCCAGCAACAGGCTTGGCAATTAGCCTGTGGCCTTGTCTCATGCCTGACAGCTGCCACGTACCCCCTGGTGTGGGGAACTTGGCTTATAAATTCTCAGCTTCTCAAACCCCATGGCCTTGTCCATGTTAGCTCAGGAAAGGCCTGTCCTTGGATGGTCTGGGTTATGGGGAGATAGGCTGCCAGGGGCCAGGCTCACTGGCCTGAGACTTTAGACAGCCTAACAGGCTGCCCCGGAGGAAGGATGGCTGGAGTGGAGCCCTCTCCCGTCAACAGGTGTCAGCTGTCACTCAGGACCTAGGCAGGGATGAGGAAGCAGACAAAAGGCTCCACCTGTCCCCCTTTTTTGTGTCTTTCTCCTCCTCCTCCTGCCTCCCTTGGCAAAGCAAACCCCTGACCCCACGGAGAGTTCAGGGAGAGCTTGCTCAGGGCTGCGACTTCAGACACCAGCTGCCCTCTTTCTAGGTCTCCAGAGAGGTGGCCCAGCGGCTGGCCTGTTTCCCACTGGGAATGCGAGGGGCACCCGGGCGGGCCCAGGGCTGAGCCACAGCAGGCTCGGGCAGTGGGTGCTCAGCTGGGCCGCACTGAACGCAACCGGAAGTGAGGGTCCTTTTCCTTCTCTCCCCGCCACCCCCTCCTCCCGGAGCTGTCCTGAACCCTCTGGGTGCTCCAGAACTCGTGGCCCCGAGCTCCAAGTGCTTCTCGGTTTTCTAAACGGGGATGAGGAAACTCCGGATTCACATCCGTGTGTCAGGAAACGGTTCCCAGGAGAAGTGCGTCTGAGTAGAGGCTTACAGACCCGGGTAGGTGGTAGCGGAGGGGCCCTTGGGGCCCTGGTAACCTTGAGGAGCAGGGGAGTGACCCGCTCTGATTTGGTTTGGGCGGAAGCAAACCCAGGCCTGGCCGCCGGGCGCCCGGGCCGCGCCAGCTTGCTCTTCCCCTCCCACGCCCGTCCGGCACTTCCCGGCCGGCCGAGCTCTAGATGCGGGTGTTTGTTCCAGAAAACTTTCGGCGGCGGCTCGCACTGAGCATGCTCGGCGGCGGGGCGGGCCTGGGGTCCGGAAGCTCCGGCGACTCGGCGGCACCCGCCGCTTTGAGGTAGCGGGTCCCGGCAGGCGATGGGCCCCTCGGGCTCCCGGGGGCGCGCCACGTGGGTGCTGGCCGGGGGCCTCCTGGCGGTAGCCCTGGCCCTGGGGGACCGAGGCTGTCTCGACGCCAGCTCAAGTCCCCGCTGGCGCCCCCTCGGCGCGCAGCCACCCCGGCATCCCCAGGTGGCTCCCGGGTCTGGGCCCGGCCTGAGGACTCCTCCCGGGCGGAGCGGGGTGGGGCCCAAGAGCAGCACGCAGGTAAGGAGGGCCCGCCCCCAGGCTCCGGTCTGACTCTAGTGGTTTGACTTCGTCTACACCGGCTGTGGCAGGGAGGACCCTTAGTATTTCGCAAAGAATGAGGGAGGGCAGGATCTGAACAGGGTGCCTCGCGGCCCTTAGGTGTATCCCGCTTATGGCCAGAAAGCTTCGAGGGAAACTGGAGACCTTCCTCGGGGTGTGGCACCAGCGGGCTTGGACTTCACCAGCGACCCGGGTTCGAATCCTGTTCTCCATTTTACGAACTTTGACTTAGGGCAGGTCACTCCTGTGCCCCAGTTTCCTGATCGTTGAAACAGGGCCGTGGTGGCGTCCACCCCAGAGGGTGGAAGTGGGTTAGATGAGCTCACGCATACAGAGCGCCTTGCAGAGGCCAGCACTGGGAGATTGCAGCGGTTGTTGAAAGTGGGGACTCTTGGCTGGATTCTTAGGTGACTGAACTCTCCTGGCTGATGGATTTAGCCACTTCCTACTTCACCCTGGCCCTCCTTCTGTGGTCCTAAACTCGAAAGGCGTGGATCCCTGCCTGTCACCCTAGACTTGACCTCCCCCCACAAAGTTGGTCACCAGTCCTAGTGCCTTTTCCTCCAAATCAGCTCGGATGTCTGCCCCTCCTCCCTCCCCACTGCCACCCCCTGGCTTCACGTCCCACCACTTCACCTCTAGCCCTTGGTGATGGTTTTCCCACTTCTTGCATCCATTTTCCCCCAGACCTCTGGGGTGGTCTGTCCTGGTAGACATCCCACCACTCCCGTCCCATGCTGGCACTCTTCCCTCCCCCACCTTATTGTCCCTGGCAGCACACCCAGGCTCCTATTCCCAGAAGTGCCCTGGCCAGTGGTCTGGCCATTGATGCTACCCTGAGGTCCTCCCACCTCACTCCCAGGGTGGTGGGTCCTGTCCTGCTGTGTTCTCTACCCCAGGACACTTGCGACACTTCCAGAAGTTTAGCCTTAAAAGAGACTCTGCTCCCTTTCTGTCTTTAGGTTTTCACTGGAGAAATGCCATGTCAGTGTCCTGAGCTTTCAAAAGTCTAATGACAGAACATGTTCCCTGGGTTCTTTCATCTGCCCTGTGAGGTGGGAGTATCTGGCCGGTTTTGCAGGTGACAAAACCAAGGCTCAGGGAGTCGAATCCCCAGGCCTGTCCTGTGCTCTCTCCCTGGCCCCCGAGTTCAGAGCCCCTGCGCCTGGCCTCACCTGCTTTGCACAAGCTCTTCCTTCTGGGAAGCCAGCGTCAGAAGATCCTGGCGCACATTGGTCTCTGTCAGCCACAGTGATGTTGAGGGTGGTCCCTGCCAGAAGGGAGGGACGGTGCCTACTGGGAAGGGCCTGAAGCCATCTAGGACCATGGTGGGTCTAGAGCACCTCACCCTTAAGGGCCGCCCCTGCCTTTGCAGGAATCTGGGAATGAGCACCTGTGTTCAGGTGCCCTTGGCATCTTGAACACATCCCCTGGGCCCTGGCCCTGCCCACACCCATCCCAGCTGTCCATGGGACCAGCCTTCCTCCATCTCTCTGGGCCTGTCTTGGACAGCCCTTCTGCACACTGTACAGGAAAGAGCTCCAGCCATGTGTGTCCCTGCCTCGGCCACTCCCTCTTCTGGGGCCTGGGGCAAGTCACAGCCCTCAGGTCTCTGCTTTCTCTTCTGAGCAGTGGTGTAAGGGCTGTTTCCAGAGCACAGTTCCCTAAGGCACAGGTTAGTTCTTCCTATTGTAATTATTTGATGCCTTCATGTAATTATTTGATGCCATCTATCCATCCATTCATTCAATATCTATACCTATATATATATATTAATTGCACCTTTGCTAAGTCCCGTGCTGTGTGCAGGGGGCTGGGAGACCAATGCCTAATTGCACACTGTGATTGCTGTAAGGAGGAGGATGGGGAGCCATGAGAGAGGGCGGAGGAAGGAGATCATTTAGTCTGGGAGGTCAGTTGAGACTTGAAGGATGGGCAGGTTTAGCCAGGGAAAGAGTGGGGAGAGGACATCCCAGGTGGAGGAATCATCGTGGGTGCGGCCCACATGTAGGAGGGGCTTGTCATATTCCAAGTCTCTGGCACCCTGATGCTGGGACATGTCTTGGTGAGAACATTTAACACATCGTTTTGGCTGCTTGTCTGTTTCCTTTGCTGGACTGTGAGTTACTGTGGGCGGGGATTTTACCTTTTTTAATTTCATCATTTGATGCCCACTGGGAATGCATTTTATTCCCCAGTGGTTCTTAAAGTGGGGCCCAGGGACTCCCTGGGGTCACTGAACCATTATAGGGTCCATGGAGTCAGAGCTATTTTCACAGTAATGCTGAGATATTACTTACTTTGTCTACTCATTTTCTCACAATTGTGTGATGGAGTTTTCCAAGGTGACAGGAAGTGTGATATTGCAGCAGATTTAATGTACAAGCAGATTTAAGAATCCAACTCTTTCCATTAAGTCAGACATAGATGAGGTTTGCAAAAATGTAAAAAAAAAAAAAAAGTAATTCTTCTCACTTTTTTATTTTAGAAAATAAAAGTTTTAGTTTATTTAGTTTTCAGAAAATATGCTGTTTATGTTAATATGGAATGACATTGTTATTGCTATTTAAAATGAATTAATAGACACTTTAAAATATTCTCACCTTTAATTTAAAGAGAGTACATGTTGATAAATATAATCAGCACAAACAAAAGTTTTTTGGAGCCTTCAATAATTGGCAAATCTGTAAAGAAGTCCCAAGACCAACAAGTCTGAGAAATCACTGCTCGGTAGCAAGCCTTATCTGATGTCCTAAGAATTCAGATGAAAGAAACCACCCAGCCCCTTTGAAAGATAAGTGTCTATTTCAGAATGGGATCCTTTCATCATTTTCACCATTTCATTATGCTAATAGTATCATTTTGTTATTTTACTTGAAGCACCACACAACAGTAATTTAGGTTGGTTGTGATGCCAAGTTCAGTGGATTGGGTGTGTCCCAAATTTGTAGAAGAGAACAACAAAAAATCAGCCAGATACGATGTAACATTATCTGTTACACTGTGTAATTACTATAGCTTTCAAAATTGCAGCCTTGGAATTCCAAGTTAAGGGAACTATTAGTCAAATAAACTCACGCCTGTAATCCCAACACTTTGGGAGGCTAAGTCAGGAGGATAGCTTGAGGTCAGGAGTTCAAAAGCAGCCTGGGAAACACAGTGAGACCCTCACCTCTACAAAAACATATATATATATATTTTATTAGCTGGGTGTGATAGCACATGCCTGTGTATTCCCAGGTTCTCAGGAGGCTGAGGCAGGAAGATGGCTTGAAACCAGGAGTGTGAGGATGCAATGAGCTATGATCTCACTACTGCACTCCAGCCTGAATGGCAAAACAAGACCCTCTCTCAAACAACAACAACAACAAAACAAAACTTACTGAGAGCTTGGTCAGGAAAGATGGAGATCTTGAGGGTGTCTGTGCTTCACTTGATCTTTAATGGCCGGAGCACCCCAGGGCTCAGTGCTGGGTTCTCTTCTTCCCTCTGTCAACACTCACATCCTTGGTGATCTATCTATCCACTGGCAGCTCCCGAATTTCCATGTCCAGCCAAGACCTTATCTGAGCTCCACCATGGATCTGCAGGCCTACCTGCCATGGTTCGTGGAGACTCATGGGCACTCCACAACTGATGCACCAAGGCAGAACCTAAATCCTGCCCCTAGTCTCCCTTCCTGCCAGTGGTTCCTCTGTCTTTCTTCTTCCTGGACCCGAAGGCCTTGGCACCCTCCTAGCCTCCTCCCTCTCCCCAAGCCCCACATTTAGTCAGCACATCGCGTGGGTTTTATTTTCAAAACACACCCACAATTAGCACAGTTTTCACTCTCTTTACAAACACCATCTTCATCTGAATTGCCACCTTCTCTCTGGGATTATTGTGGAGCCGCCTAAGTGACCTCCTTGCGTCTCCCCTTGAGTACTTCTCTGTTCTCAACAGAGCAGCCAGAGTGTCCCATTTAAAATGACTATTATGCCACTCATCACAGAGTAGCTCATGGTGGTTTCCCATTGTCCCCAGAGCAGAAACCACTCACTCGCCCTGCTCAGGCACCCGGACATCCTTGTGTTCCTTGAACACCTGGGTGTGTTCTCACCTCAGGGCCCTTGCACATGTCTTTCCTCTGCCTAAGTGAATGCTCCTCCCCCGATACCCCGACAGCCCTTTCAACATCACCCCATTTAAAATAGCATTACTCTCTGTCCCTTTTTCCTTCTTTATTTTGCTCCACTGTTCTTATCACCTTCTAATATACTATTTATGGTATGTTACTGTTTTGTTTGAATTATATATAGTATACTATGATTTTGCTGGTAATTTTCCTAAATAGTGTTTTGAGAGTAGAGCATTTGATGTCTCCTTTGGCGATGTATCCTCATTTTCAAAATAGCACATAGTAGGTGATCAAAAGTATTTGTTGAATGAGTGAATGCAAGTGAAGTAACTGAGGTTGGCAGGAAGTGGTGAGGCAGTGGCTGAGGGTTTGGAACCGGGGCTAAGAGTCTAGAAACATGAGTTCTGACCTCAGCTTTACTGTTTACTAGCTGTGGACACTTGGATATTTCATGTGTCAATTTATAAATATTTATTGGGTACTCTTGATGCTTCTGTGCGGCTCCTGGGGATATAGCACTCAACGTGCCTGAGTCTCCATTCTCCTGAAGTTGGTGGTCAGTCCAGCTCGGAGACTCACATTCCTCATCTGCAAAGTGGTGATTTTATAGTTACTTCTTGGCATTATCAGAAATGATGATGATGGTGATGATAAGAACAGTAACAAGAGCAGTGATAATAATAGTTATGATGATATGCAGTAACTCCTCACGGGACATCAGTAGGTTCTTGGATACTTTGACTTTAAGCAAAAGAAGCGCTGTATGCTATAGGAACAGCTCTTGTCTGTATTAACTAGCCTATGGTAAATTTGGTTTTGCTATACAGTATGCCATTTGGCT